TGTTGGTATTGATGGATGGGTTGTGTTATTGGTGGATATTTGGGGTATTTGTGTATTACTTTTTTTAATTTTTAATAATACTGAGAAGGTTGTATGTTTTGTTGGGAGGATTAAGGTGGGTGTTTAATATAATAATTGATACTTTTTTTGGTGTGTTTTTATATGTAAAATGTGGTGTGGTAGGGTTAGGAGAGTTATGAATGATAATGTAGATGTGAGGTAATGTAATTATTGTATATTTGTGTAATAGATGGGGGTATTATATTATTTGTAATGATGAGGTGAAAAGAAGGGATTGGAGTTTGGTGTGGGAGGTATGGGTTGATAAATGTGGTTTAATGGAGATGTTGGGTGTTTGGAGTTGAATTTTTGGGGATGATAGGATGAGGAGATTTGATTGTAATGAATGTTAGGTGAGAAATGATGTTTTGGGGTATGGGTGGGGGGAATGTGGTGTGTGTGGTGTTTAGGTGGATTTTTGGATAGGTGATGTATTTATGTGGGCTTATATGATATTTGTAAAATTTGGATAAAATGGGGGGTGGAAGGGGTGGTGAGAATGGGTGGAGGGGGTAGTGTGGGGGAAGGAGGATAGATATGTAAGATTGGAAAAGGGTAATAGGGGGGGGAGAAGAGGTTTGTAGAGGATAGGTGAGGGAAGTGTTTAGAGATGATTTTGGTTGATAATGAGTGGGGGGAGTGGTGGGGAGAAGGATAAGAGACAAGAGATGGGAGGGAAGAGAGTAATATGGAAAGGGAGGGATGAATGTGGATATGATGGGAATAGGATTTATTGATATAATGGGGGTAGGGGATGGGTTTGGATTAGGGATTAGATGGTGTAAAGGGAGTGTAGAGGATGTTGTTGGGGATTTTTATTGTATGATTGTATAGTTGGGGGTTTTGGGTAAGTGTGGTAGGTGGGAGGTTGGGATAATATAGGGTGATTGTTGGTGGTTTGATGGGTTTGGGGTTTGAGGGTTGGGGGTTTTGTATTTAAGGGATGTATATGATTGATTTGGAGTAAATGTGGGATGGGGGGGGTATGATGGGGTTTTTGTATTGGGGAATTTGTTTTAAAATGTGAAGTGTTTTATTTATTTGTTAGATTTGATGGGTATGGGTGTTGGGGTGGTTTATATAAGGGTGTATGGGTGGGTGGATAATTGAATTATGTGGGGGGGGTGGATGTTAAGGAGGGGGGGAAGGTTATTGAGTTTGGAGAAAGTATTGTTGTGGGGTGTATGTGGTGTTATTTTGGGTGTGTTGTTGGGGGGGAGGTTGGGTTTTTTTGGTGGTAAGGGTGGAGGAATTTGGGGTTAATGATGGGTGGATTGATAGTGGGATGATATGGGATTTGGTTGTGGGGGTTGTGTGGGTAATGTGGAGTGGAGGGTTTTTTTTTAAGTAGGTTTAGAGGAAGAGAAGGAGTGTTTGAAGGGATGGAAATGTTAATTTAGGGGAGTGGTTTTGGGGTTGGTGGGATGTGAGTGGGTGTATATGGATTTGTATTTGAGAGTTAAGAATGTGGGTTTTATGGGGGGATGTTTGTAAGGGGGGGAGGGTAATGGGTGTATTTGTGTGGTTGTAGTGGGGAAATTGTTTATTATAGGGGGGGGGGGGGGATTGTATTTGTGGAGTTTATGATAATGTGGTTGTGGAGTTTGTGTGAGAAATAGGGTGGGGAGGATTTGAAGTTATATGGTGAGAATTTTGGGTTGTGGGGTTATGTTTTGAGTTGATTATGATTTATATTTAGGGTAGATAAGTATGGGGTGGGGGTTTTGGGGGAGTGTGTTTTGGAGAAGATTAGGAGGTAGATATATTTATTGGGGGGTTGTATGGGAAGGGATTTGGGGTAAAAAAAAAATAAAAAAAAAAGTATTTTTGGTTATGGGGGAGGGGGGGTGTGGGTGAGAAATGGGGTCGGGGGTTGGTTTTGGAAGGTAAGGGAGGGATGTGGATATGTTGTGGTAAATTGTTATGGAAAGGGTTTTAGAAGTTGTGGGTTGTATTTGATTTGTAGTATTTGGGTGGTTTGTATGGTGTTTGATTATGTTGTTTGTATTAGAATTTAGGATGGAGGGAGGAGATGTGGGGGTTGAATGAAGGATTGTATGGGGTTGGGGTTTTTGGATTTAATGGAATTATGATTTTATAGGGGTAGTGGGGGTATGAGGTAGGTAGGGTATGAGTGGTTATGGATGGAGGGTTGTGTATGGGGATATGTGAGTAGTGTGGATGGGAGGGGAGGGAGTTGGTAATTTGTTGAGGGGGATGGTGTTATGGGTGAGTGGTGGGTGTGATAATATTGATAGAAGAGGAGGGAGATGGATTGTAGGGGTTATGGGATGAGGGAAAGAAAGGGAATGGGAGGAGTGTTGTTTGAGTGGGTAGGGTTTAGTAGGGTATAGTTGAGGAGAGTGTAGGGAAAGGGGGGTGAGAGAAGGGGGGGGGGGGGAATGGGGGGGGGGAGTTGGATATTGTAGGAAGTAATGAGGAAAGTATGGAGGAGGGGATAGTGTAAGGTATTGTAGTGGTTTGTTGATATGAGATAGGATTGGATTTGAATTTGTTAAGGGGTTTGTTGATGGGAGGGGGGAGAGGGTTAAGGGAGTTTGTAGGGTGGGAGTGGTGGGTTTATGGGGAGGGGTGGTGTGGGGTATAGTATGGTTGTGTTGTATGTGTTGTGTGTGATTTTGGTGGGTTGGTGGTGATGGTTATTGTGGTGATGGGGGTGGGGGGGGGGAGAGGAGAATGAGTGGGAGGGGGGAAGAGTAGGGAGGGGTAAAGAGGAGGTGATGGTTTTTGAGGTTTATGTATGGAGGAAGATGGTGGGATATGGTTTTATTGTGTGGTAGATGTATAGGGTTATGGTAGAGGATTTTTGTGGTTGGGTGATTGTATTTGATTTTGGTGGGTGGGAATGGTGGTTGGGGGGGGTTTTTATGGATCTATTATGTGGGGGTTTGGTGTGTTGATGGGGAGGGGATATGTTAGGTGGGATGGTGGTTTTGTTTGTGGTTAGGTTTTTTTGAGTTGTATGGTGGGTGATGGAATATTGTTTGTGATTGATGTTTTTTTTGGTTGTGTGTGGAGTGCAGAAATTATTTGTAAATGGTTAGGGGTTGGTTGGGTGGGGTGGGCAAGTAAAGATGTTAATCTAATAAGGGTGATGGAGGTATTGTATGAGAGTTGTTTATGAAATTAGGAATATTATTGTAAGAGGTGGGGGGGGTTGGGGTGAATGGAGGGGTGTTTTGTTGTTGTTTTGGTATTTTTGGTTCTGGTGGGAGTGGTTTTAAATAGGGTAATATTGTTTGATATTATGGAGGGAATTTTTTAAGAAGGGGGATGGGGATGAGAGATATTATTATTCTTCTTGGGGTGGCAGGGGTGTGATTTGTGTGGTGGTGTGAATTAAATAATGGGAGGGGGTTGGAATTATGGAGTGATTGATTTTGGGTAAATGTGTGTTTAATAATAGTATGTTATTTTAGTATATTTAAGGTTTAGGTAATTTTAATGAATTGATTTTTTTATATTATATAAGAGGTAATGGTTGTGGTGGGGTGAGGGAGATAATATGAGAGAGGGATTGGATGATGGTTAGGGGGTGGGGTTCGATGTATGGGTATTATATTTGTATTGTTTTAGAGTTATGGGTATGTGTTTGGGAGGGGATAGTTTTGATAGGATTTTTTTGTAGGATGGGTTATGGTTTTGGATTGTTTTTTTGTGTTATATGTTGTAAGTTTGATTTATTGATAAGATTAAATTTAGGGATTTGTTATGGTGGTGAAGATGGATTTAGGTGGGGGAATGGGGATATAAATATTGATTTTTTGGGTATTGTTTGATTGGGTGGGGGGAGGGAGTTTGGTTGTGGGAGATGTGGTTGGAGTAAGGGGTTGTGGTTGTGTGGGGGGGGTTTTGGGGTTTTTTTGGTGGTTGTTGGTGGAGGAGGATGAGGGGTTGTGATGATGTGGGAATATGTATGGTAGTTGTGTTATATGATGTGTGGTGTTGTGTTAAATATATAAGGTATTTGTGTTGTTTGGTTTTTTGTTGTTTTTTGTTGTGTATTTTGTGGTGTTGTGTGGTTGGGTGGTCTGTGGGTTTTGTTTTGTTTTTAGATTAGGTTGTTTGATGTGATAATAGGATTTAGGATAGTGGTTTGAGATTGTTTTGGTGGTGTGAAAGGGGTGGGGGGTGTGTGGGAAGGGAAGGTGTGTGGAGAGGATGGGAAGTGGAGTGAAGGTATAGGTATTAAGGATGTATGGAGGGGATGATTGGAGGGTAGGTATGGGGATTGTAGGATTTATTTAGGAAAATATTAGTTGGAGTTATTGGGATGGAGTTAGAAGGGATGAAAGGGGTTAGTAGTAGAGTTAAGGTTAGTGTTGGGTTTATAGAGTTTGGTTAAGGTGTGGATTGAGGATGGGAAAAGTGATAGGGAGTAAGGTTGTGGGTGAGGATGGGGTGGAGTGATGCGATGTGATTTGGATGAGTTGTGAAATATGTGTTGGTTGTTTTGTAATTGATGTAGAATTGTGTTTTTGGTGTGAATTAGGGATTGGTATTGTTTGAAGGATATGGTAGTGAGGGATGGAAGATGTGGATAATATAGATAAGGGGGGGGTTGGGGGGTAGGGGGGGGGGTAGGGGGAAAGATATATGAGTGATGGGGTAGGGGAGGTAAAGTGTGTAGAGTTGGATGGGGGGTGGGGGTGGTTGGTGGGGGGGTGATGGTAGGTGAATGGGGGGTTGTTATGGGTGGAGGGGAAAGGAATGAGTGGTGTGGGGTATTGGTAGGGTAGTGGGAAATTGTAGGAGATGTTTTGGATTGGGTTGATGGGTTGGAAATAATGAGGTAATAGGGGTGAAGTTGTGAATTGGTAAATGAGTTTGGGGGTGATTAATTGGAAGGTTTGATTAGGGGTGGTATATATATTGGGGGGGGGGGGGGGGAATGTAGGGTGGGGAGTTGGGTGATTGAAATGGGGATATGTATGGTGGGGTGGATGGGGGGGGGTAGGGGGGTGGATAGTGGGTGGGATAAGGGGAAGGGGGGGGGATGTGTAAGTGGGGGTATGGGGGATGTATTTAATGGGGGTTTGTTTGGTTTGTGGGAAGTGGGGTGGGGTTTTGATTGTGGGGGGAGGGGGGGGGTGGGATTTGTGGTGGGATGAAGGGGTGAATGGGTTATGTATTTTTTGGGTGGGTATTATGGGGTTATTGAGGGGGTGGGTTGTGAGGGGGTAGGGGGTAGTGGGTGTATGATGTGAGGTTTAGTTTTGTAAAGGGTTGTGGTTTTGGGAGGGGGATGTGTGGGGTTGGTATGGTGGGATGTGTTGGGTGATTGAGGGTAAGTTGGGGGGGGGGGGAATGATGAAATGAGGGGATTGTGGGTTATGTGAGTGGAGATATGGGATGAGGTGGGTGGGGGATGTTAGGTGGGGGTTATGGGGGGGGGGGTGGGTTTGTATGGGTAGTTAGGGGGGGTATGGTGATTTTGGTGGTGTATGGGGGGGGGTGTTGTGTGGAGTAATGAGGGAGGGGTGGGTGATGAGGTGATGGGGATGTGTATTTGGGGAGGATGATTAAAATTGGGGGAGGGGGGGATGATTAGTATTGGTTGTTTGGGGAGGGTTGTCAAAAGAAGTATGGGGTTATGGATGGGGGTGGTTGGAATGGTATGGGGGAATGTTGTGGGGGGAGTGGGTGGGGGAAATTTGGGTAGTGGTTTTGTGGGGATAATTGGGAGAGGGGGGTGGTGAGGGGAGGGGATTAGGTTGGAATGGGGGGTGGGGGTTTTGAGAGTGGGTAGGGTTTGGGGGAGGTTAATGAAGGAGGGTGATGGGGGGGGGGGGGTTAGTTGTTAAAGTTGGTTTAGTGGGTAGGGTGTATTTGGTTGGGTGGGGGAGGGTGGGGGGGGGGGGTTTGGGTGGTTGAAGAGGGATTTAAGTGATGGAGGGGAGGGGTTGGATGGATTTGGATGGGGGGTGGAGGGGGGGTGAGTGGTTAGTGATGGGGGATGGAGAGGGTGGATAGATAAGTATGGGGGGGGGGGGGTGTATATTAGGAGAGGAGGTGGGGAGGGTGGGATTTTTTGATATATAGATGGGTGGTGGTTGTGGGGGGGGGGGGAGGGTGAGGGGTAGAGGTAGTGAGGGGGGGATGAGTGATATTTAATAATTGATGTGGGGAATATTTGGGGGATAGGGGGTATGGTGAGGTGGTATGAGGGTAGGTTATGTAGAGTTTTAGTATTTTATGTAGGATATTAGTTTATTGGGGGGGTATTGGGGGGGTATGTGGGGAGGGGGGTTTTGGGGGGGATGGGGAGTAAGGGTTGGTGGGAGTAAGGGGTTGTTGGTTTTGTTGTTTGGGTAGGAAGTATGGGTTTGATGTATGGGGGAGGGGGTGGTGTTTGGTGGTGGGGTTGGGGTGTGGGGGTAGGTGGTTTGTGTTGGTGGTGATGGGGGGGGTTTGGGGGGGGGTATGATTTGGTTGAGTGTGGTTTGTGGGGGGGGGGGTTGAGTTGTTGAGTGTGTTGGGTTGTTGTGGTTGGAGGATGATTTTGGATATATATGTTGGTGGTGGTTGGTAAAAGGAGGTGTGTGGTGGTAGGGGTGTGGTGGGGGGAAGGAGTGAGGAAGGGGAGGGGGGAGTGGTTGAGAAGGTAGAGTGAGTTTGGGTTTGTGTGTTATATATGGGGGTAGGGGGGGTGAGGGGGGGGGAGGGGGGGGGGGAATTATGGTGGGGATGATAGATTTATTTATGGTATGGGGGTATGGGGGTTGTGGGTGGTAGATTTTAGAGGGTGTTGATTGTGTGTAGGATTTTGAGTTTGGGTATGATGGGGGGGGGATTTTGGGGTGGGATTTGGGAGGGTTTGGGGGTTGGAGGGAGTGAGTAGTTGAGGGGTATGGGGGAGGTTAGTTGTAGGGTTGGTTTGGTTGTTGGGGGGGTGTTTGGATGGGGGGTATATGAGATGGTTGGGGTGTTGAGGGGGAGGTTTTAGGAGGGGGGGTAGGATAGGTGGGGGTTATTGGGGGTTGGGGGGGGTTTTTGGTTGTGGGGGGTAGGGGGGGTGTATGGGGTGGGGGGGTGGTGGGGTGGGTTGTGGGGTGGGGTTGGGTGGGGGGATGGGGGGGGGGGGGGGGGGGTGGGGGGTGGTGAGTGTTGGTTGGGGGGGGGGGTTGGGGGGGTGGTGGGTTTAGGGGGGGATGGGGGGGTTGAGGTGTTGGTGATGTTGGATAGGATGGGGGGTGTAGGTGGGGGGGGGGTGATGGATGGGTGTGGGGTTGGTGGTGTAATGGTATGGTTTGGGGGTGTGGTTGTGGGGATGGGAGTGGGGTGGTGGGGGAGGTTTATGGGTGGATTGTGGTGATTGGAGGTGTGGTAGGGTGGTTGTTTTATTGGGAGGGGTATGGTGTTGGGGGGTGTTTAGGGGTTTTAGGGGGATGGAAATATGGTTGGGGGGAATGTTGAAGGGGGTGGGGATTTATGAGGAGGGGGGGGTTTTGGGGGTGATTGTATGGGAAGGGGTGGATGGGATGGGTGTGGATTGGGGTGGGGGGGGATGGGGGGGGGGGGGGGGTGTGGGGGGGGGGATTTTTTTTGTGTATGGGGGGGGGGAGGTTGGGGGGGGGGGGGGTATTTGGAGTAGGGTGGGGTGGGGGTATTGTGGTGGGGTAAATTGGGATAGGGGGGTGTTGGATTGGGGGGGATTGTGAGGGGGTGGGGGTGGGTGGGGGGGGGTTATGGTTAGGTGTTGTATGTTAAGGGGGTTAGGGGGGGGAGATTAATTGTGATTTATAAGGGTGGGGGAGTGGGAAGGAAATTTTTGTAAGGGTGAGGTTTAGTGGTTGATGGGTGTGTTGGGGATAGGAGATGTGTTTTTGTGTGAGTTATTTGGGTTTTGGTATGGATAGGGGGTGGGTATGGTGATGGGTTTTTGGGGGGATTTGTATGTTGGGGGGTTGGATGTGGTGGGGGGTGGGGGGGGGGGGTGTGGGGTGGGGGTGGGTGTGGAGGTGTTTTGGGGTAGTGGGGTTGGGGTTAGGTGGATTATTGGATTGGGAGTGTTTTTTTATGTGATGGGTGGTGGGGGGTTGGGGAATTATGAGGGAAGGATATTGGGGGTTATAGTTAGGTAGATTTTTGAAGTTAGGTTGGGGGTATTATGGTTGGAGTTTGGGATATGGGGTTGGTGGGATTTGTGGTATGTTGGTGGAGGGGGGTGATTTATTGGTGGGATTTTTTTGGTTTGTGGGGGGGGGGATTTTAGTTATGGGGTTTTTGTTTTGGTTATGGTTTTGTGGAGGGGATTGTTGGAAGTGGTGGTGTTGGTTTTGTGGTGTGAGAGTGGGGTGTAATATGGGGGGTTTTGGGTAATGTTTAAGGATAGGTTGGATATTGTGTAGGGGGATTTGAAGAGTTGTTTTTAGGGAAGGGAGATGTATTTTATTTGGGAAGGATAAGGGGGGGGGTTGGGGGGGGTGGTGTTTTTGGGATGGGATTGTGGTATAAGATATGTTGGTGGGGAGATATTGGGGAGTGGTGGGGGGGGGGGTTATGGATGATGGAGATGTTTGATATTTGGGTTGGGGGGGGAATGGTATAGATGTTAGGTGGGGTGTTGTTAGGGGATGGGATGGGGGATGAATGAGGGGGGAGGGAGTTGGGGGGGAATTGGGGATTTTGGAGTAGGATGGTGTATGGGATTTTTTATTATAGGATGGGTTTGATATGTGTTGGAGGGGGGGGTGAATTTAGGAGATGTGTTGGTATGGGGGGTGGGGGGTATGGATATGGGGGGGTGAGGTGTGGGGTTGGAATGGGGGGGGGGAGGGGGGTGGGGGTGGGTGGGTGGGGAGTAATAAGGGGGTGTGTTAATTTGGTGATGGTGTGGTGGGGGGGGTTGTTTTTTGGTGGATATTGTTGGTAGGGTAGGTATTGGGGGGGGGGAAAGTAGAGGGTTATAGGATGATAATTTGTATGAGGTAATAGTAAGAAGAAATAGAGTAAAGAAGGAGTAGTTTTAGGTTGGGATTATGGGATGCTTTTATATGAGTTTATGAGGGTTTGGGTTGATTTTTGATGAGAGAGATAGTATTAGTAGGTTGGGGGTGTTTTGGGTTGGTGAGGGGGGATATGGGTAGGTGGGGGTGTGGGGGGGGGGGGTTGGTAGGGGTAGGATAGGGGGGGGGGTTGGGGAGTGGGGGTGTGGGTGGGGGGTTAAGTGGGGGGGATTGGTTGATGGGGGGGGGGGATTTGGGGGGTGGTTTGGGGTTGGTGGGTTGTTGGGGGGGGTGGGTGGGGGTTTTTTTTTTTTGTTTTTTGTTTTGTATTGTGGTGGATGAAGGGGGGGGAAGTATTGGTGGGGAGGATTAGATGTTTAGTTGATGGGATTTTTTTGGTTGGAGTGTTGGGTGTTATAGGGGTTGGGGATAAGTTTTGGGTTAAGGAGTGGGTTGGGGGGGGGGTTTTTTGAGATTGTGTGGTATGTTGGGGGGGGGGGGTTGGGGTGTGGTGTGAGGTGGGGGGATGGGGGGAAAGGAGTTGTTATGGAGGGTGGTGTTATGAGGGGGTTGGTGGTGGTGGTTATGATGGGGTGGTGGTGGGGGGGGGGATTTGGAGTAGGGGGGTGGGTGGTTTTTGGGGGGGGAATTGGTTGGGTGTGTGGGGGTTGGGTATGGTGGTGGGTGGGGGGTTGGTGTGGGTTAGGGGTGATATTGGTTGGGTGGTTGTGGGGGGATTGGGTGTTGGGGGGGGGGGGGGGTTGGGGTTTGGGGGGGGGTGGGTTGGGGTTTGGGGGTGTGGGGGGATGGGTTGGGTGGGGGGGGTGGGGGGGGGTGGGGTTGTTGGGGGGGGTGGTAGGTGGTGTGTGTGTTGTGGGTGGAGTTGTTGTTGGTGGGGTTTGGGTTGGGGGTGGGGTGGGGGGGGTTGTGGGTTGGGGGGGGGTTTTTGTGGTGGGGTATGGGGGGGGGGTGGGGGGGGGGGGTTTGATGGGTGTGGTGTTTGGGGGGGTTTTGGGTTTTGGGTTGGGGAGTTGGGGGGGTGTTTGGTATGGGGGGGGGGGGGGTTGGGATTGGGGGTTAGGGGGGGATGGGTTGGGGGGGGTTTTGTGTGGGGTTTGGTGGGGTGGGGGGGGGGGGGGGGGGGGGGGGTGGAGGTTGGGGGGGTAGAGGTTTGGGATTTGTGATTTTGGGTTTTGGTATGTGAGTTGTTTGGGATGGGTGTTTATAGTTAATTGTTGTGGGTTGGGTTTTTGTGTGGGGGGAATAAAGGGAGGGTTATGGATGAGGGAGGATTAGGGGGTGGGGTTAGGGGTTTGTGGGGTGGTGTGGGAGGGGAAGTGGTGTTGGTTGGGGTGAAAGGTAGGGGTGATGGGGGGATTGATGAGGGGAGGGGGTTGGTAGAGGATTATGATGGGGGGGGGGGTATGGGGGGTAGAAAAGTTGGGTAAAGGGTGTGGGAGATGGGAGGGGGGTTTTATGTTGGGTATAGATTGGTGAGGGATTTAGAGAGGAGATATTATGGGGATAGGGGGGGGGGGTAAAGTTGAGGGGAAAAGATGTTTTGTGGGTTGGGGGGGGATGATGATGAGGAAGATTTTTGGGGATGAGGGGGGGGGGGATTTTGTGGATTTATGTGTATTTGATAAATGTTTTTGGGGGGGGAAGTGTGTGGTTGTTGTTGGTTTGGGGTGGGGTGTTTTGGGTAAGTTTGGGGGTGTTTTGGGGGGTGGGGGGGGTTTTTGTATTGGTGGTGGGAGTTGGTTGGGGGGTTGGGGGTTGTGGAGTGGGGGTGTGTGTTGATTGTTGTGTGATTGTTGGGGGGGGGGTATGGTTGTTGGTATTTGGGGGGGTAGGGTGTTTATGGTTTTTTGTTGTATTGTGTTTGGGGGTTTGGGTTGGGAGTGTGGGTGGGGGGGGTGTTTAGGGTTAGGTTGGGATGGTGTGTGTTTTTTTTGATATTGGGGTGTTGGGGGGGGAGGGTGGGTATGTTGGGATATAAGAGGGTGTGGGATGGTTGTGGGGGTAGGTGGTTGAGGGTGGTTGGGTGGATTGATGGGGATTATTTGTGTTGTTGTTTGGTTTGTTTGTTGTTTGGGAGATGTTTGTGGATGATATTGTGTAAGATTTTGGGTTTGTGTGGGATTGGGAGTATGGGGTTTTTAGGGTTGTTGGGGTTTTGTTGGAGGGTTATAAGTAGGGGGGTTAAGGGTGGTGTTGGTGGGGAGTGGGGGTTATGGTTGGGGGGAATTGGGATGGATGTGGTATAGTATGGTGGTGTAGGGTTAGAATGGTTTGGTGTGGGGGGTTGGGATGGGTGTTTTGGGGGATTGGTTTGGGGGGGATATGATGGGGGTTGGGTGGAGGGGGGGGTGGGGGTGAGTGGGGGGGGATGTGGGTGGGGGGTGGATTGTGGGATTTGGTTGTTTTGGGTGTTGGGGTGGGGGGGGTGGGGGAGGGGGTTGTTTGGGGGGGGGGGGTGTTGATTTGTTTGGTGTATGGGGGTTGGGGGGGGGTGTTATAGGTGTGTGGGGGGGTTGTTTGGTGAGGATGTATGGTGGTATAGGGTTTGTGGATTTATTGTTGATTGGGGTATGTGTGGGGGGTTGGTATGGGGGGTGGTTTGTTTTGGTTGGGAGGGTGGGGGTGGTTTGTTGTGGGGGGGGGTGGTTTGGTGGGTGTTGGGTGGGTGGTTTTGGGTGTGTGGAGGGGGGGGGGGGTTGGGTGGGGTTGGTTGGGTTGTGTGGGTTGTGAGTGTGGGTATGGGTTGGTTGGGGTGTGGGGGTGGTTTGTGGGGGGGGGTTGGGGGGGGGGGTTTGTGGGTGGGGTGGGGGTTGTTGGGTTGGGTGGTGTGGTTGGGGGTGGGAGGGGGGTTTTTGTTTGGGGTTATTGGGGTGTTTGGGGGGTGGGGTTGGGGAGTGTAGGGGGTGGGGGGAGTGGTGGGTTGTGGTGTGGTGTGTTTGTGTGGGGGGGGGGGGGGGGTTTTTGGGGTTGTGGGGGGGGGGTGTGTAGGGGTGGGGGGTTGGGGGTTTTGGTGGTGTATGGGGTGGGTATTTGGTTGGGTTTTGTTGAGGGGGGGGGTGTGGGGTTAGGTTTTGTGGTAGTGTAGTGGGGTAGTGATGGATATTTGTATGGGGTGGGGGATGTTATGGGGGGTGTGGTGGGTAGTTTGTGGTTTGTGTGTTGGGGGGTGGGGGGAGGGGGGGTTGGGGTATGTGGTTGTTGGGGTTGGGGTGAGTGGTGGTGGTGGGGAGGGTTGGGATGTGGGGTGTGTGTGGGGGGGTTTGGAGTGGGTTGGGGGGGGGGAGGGGGGGTTTATGGTTTGGGGTGTGGGGGGGGTGGGGGGGTTGGGTTTGGTTGTGGGGGTGTGGGGGTGTTTGTTGTTGGTTGGTGGGGGGTTTGTGGGTGTTTAGTGTGGGGGGGGGTTTTTGGGGTTGTGGGGTGTGGGGGGGGTTGTTGTTTGTTGGGTTTGTGGTTGGGGTTGGGTTGGGGGGGAGTTTGTGGGGTTGGGGGGGGGGGTTTTGGGTGTGGGTGGTTGGGGGGGGGTGTGGGTTGGTGGGGGGGGGGGGGGGGGGGGGGGGTTGTTTGGTGGTTTGGGGTGGGGGGGGTTGATTGTTGGGGTGTGGGGGGTGGGGGGTGGTTGTGTGGGTGTGTTGGGGGGGGTGGGGGGGGGGGGGTGGTGGTTGGGGGGGTTGGTTTTTGGGGTTGGTGGGGGGTTGTTGGGTTGAGTGTGGGTTGGTTGTGGGGGGGGGGGGTGGGGTTTTGGTGTGTGTGGTGTGTGTGTGTGTATGGTAGGTGTTTAGTGGGGGTGTTTTGGGGTTGGATTTGGGTTTTTGGGGTGTGGTTTTGGGGGGGGGGGTGGGTGTGGTGGGGTAGGGGGGTTTTTGGTTTGTGTGGTTTGTTGGGGGTGTGGGGGTAATTGTTTGGTGGGGGTGGGGGTATGGTGTTGTGGTGGTTTGGGTTGGGGGGGATTGTGGGTGTTTTTTTTTGGGGGGGGTTTGTGATTTGTGGGGTGGGTGGTGGGTTGATGTTTGGGGGGGGGGGGGGTGGGGTTTGGGGTGGGTGTGTGGGGGGTGGTGGTGTGGTGGGGGGGGTTGGGTGGAGGTGTTTGAGGGATTGGGGTGGGTGGGGGGGGTGTGTCGTTGGGGGGGGGGGGTGTTGGGTGGGGGGGGTGGGGGGTGGGGTGTTGTGGTGGTGGGGGTTTTGTGGGTGGGGGGGGGGGGTTGGGGGGGGTTGGGTTGGGGGGGGGGGATGGTTGGTGGGTGGGGTGGGGGGGGGGTGTGTGAGGGGGGTTGGGGGGGGGGGGGGGGGGTTGGTTGTGGTTGTTTTGGTGTTGGGGGGGATTTGGGTGTTGTGGGGGTGGTGTTGTGGGGGGTGTTGGTGGGTTGGTTGTGGGGGGGGGGTGGGGGGTTGTGGGTTGGGGGGTGTTGTTGGTTGGTTGGTGTGGTGTTGTGGGGGGTGTTATATGGGTTGGGGGTTTGTGGGGGGGGGGGGGTTGGGGTGGTTTGGGTTGGTGGTGGTTTGGGGGATGGGGGTTGGTGGGTGGTTGGTTTGTGGTTGGGTTGGAGGGGGGGTTGGGGTTTTGGGGGGTGTTGGGGGATGGGGGAGGGGTGGGGGGGGGTGTGTGTGTTGTGGGGGGGGTTGGGGGGGGGTTGTTGGTTAGGGTGGGGGTTGTGGGTGAGTTATTTGGGGATGGTGATGTGGTGGGGGGGGATGTTGTGGGGTGGGGGTTTGGGGGGTTTGGGTTTAGTTTTGTTGGGGTGTGGGTGTGAGTGGGGTGGGGGAATAGGGGTGAGGGGGAGGGAGTAGGGGTTGGGGTTGGGGGTTGTGTTTGGGGGGGGGGGGGGGGGGGTGTTGGTGTTGGTTGGTATGGGTGGTGGATATGGTGGGTGGTGGTTTGGGGTTGGGGGGGATGTGGGTTGGGTGGGTGGGGGTGGTGTGTTTTGATGTTGTAGTTGGGGATGGGGGGGGGGTGTTGGGTGGGTGGGTGGGTGTGGGGTGGGGGTGGGGGGTGGAGGGGGGGGGTGTGGGGGTGGGGGGGGGTGGGGGTTTGGTGGGGGGGGTGTTGTAGGTGTTGGGTGTGGGATGTGGGGGGGGGGGGGTGGGTGTTGGGGTGGTGTGGGGGGGGGGGGGGGGGTTGTGGTGTATGGTGTGGTGGGGGGGGTGTGGTGGTTGTGGGTGGGGGGGGTTTGTGGGTGGGGTTGGGTTGTGGTGGGTTGGTGGAGGGTGTTGTGGGGGGATTGGGTTGAGTGGGGGGTTTAGGTATATGGGGGTGGTGTGGGGGTGTGTGGGGTGGGGGGGGTTTTTTGGTTTGTGGGGGGGTGGGTTGGGGGGGGGGGGGGGGGGGGTTGTTGGGTTGTTGATGGGGGGGTTGGGGTGTGGGTGTTTGGGGGTTGGGTGTTGTGTGGGGGTGGGGGGGGGGGGGGGGGGGTAGGGGGTGGGGATGGGTGGTGGGGGGGTGGGTGGTGGGTGGGGGGTGGGTTGGGGGGGGGTGGGGGGGGGTGGGGGGGGGGTGTTTGGGTTTTGTGGGGTTGTGTTGGTGGGGGGTGGGGGGGTGGGGGGGGGTTTGGGGTGGTGGGGTGTGAATGGGGGGGGGGGTGTGGGTGGTTTGGTGGTGGGGGTGTGTTTTGTTTGTGGATTGGGGGGGATGTGGGGGGGGGGGGGGGGTGTGGGGGTGGGGGGGGGGGGGGGGGGTGGGTGGGGGGGGGTGGGGGGGGTGGGGGGGGGGGGGTTGTGTGGGGGGGGGGGGGTTGTTGGGGGGGGTTGGGGTTTGGGTTGGGGGGGGGTTGGGTGGTGTGTGTGGTGGTGGTGGTGGGGTGGGGGGGGGGGTGGGTGTTGGTTTGTTTGGGTGGGGGGGGGGGTTTGTTTGGGGGGTGGGTGGGGGGGTTGGGGGGGTTGATTGTTGTTGGGGGGTGGTGGAGTTGGTGGGGTGGGTTTTTTGGTTGGTGGGGGGGGAGTTTGTTTTGGTTGGGGGGGGGGGTGGGGTTGGGTGTGGTGGGGTGGGGGGTGGGTGGGTTTGGGGTGGGGGGTGGGGGGTTGTTTGGTGGTGAGGGTTGTGGTGTAGTGGGTGGGGTTGGGGGTGGTGGGTTTGTGGGGTGTGGTGTTGGGGGGGTGGGGAGGGTTGGGGGGGTGTGGTTTTGGGGTTGTGTTTTGTGGGGTTGGGGTTTGAGGGTGGGTTGTTGGTGATGGGGGGGTGGTGGTGTTGGGGGGTTGGGGGTAGTGAGGTGGGGGTTTGGGGGGGTGTTTTAGATGGTTTTTGGGTGGGTTGTGGGGGGGTGGGGGTGGGTGGGGTGTGGGGTGGTTGGGTGGGTGGAGGGGGGTTGTTGGGGGGGGGGGGTGGGGGGGGGGGGGGGTGGGGTTGGGGTGGGGGGGGTAGTGGGGTGGGGGTGTGTGGGTTGTTGGGATGGTGTGGGGGTGTTGGTGGGGGGGGGGTGGGTTTTGTTTTGTGGAGTGGGGGGGGGGTTTGGGGGGGTTGGGGTGGTGGGGGTTGGGTGGGGTGGGGGGTGGGTGGGTGGGGGGGGGTGGGTGTGGGTTTTGGGTGTTGGGGGTTTGTGGTGGTTGTTGTAGGATGATGGGGGGGTGGGGGTGGGGTTGGGGGGGTGGGGGGGGGGGTTTGGGGGGGTGGGGGGGGTGGGTTGGTGTGGGTTGGATGGGTAGGGGTTGTGGTGTGTATTTGGGAGATTGGTTTTTGATGGGGTTGTTGGGGTTAGGTTGGGGGTTGGTTTTTTGGTGGGGGGGGTTTATTTTGATGGGGTGGTTTGGGGGGGGGGTGTGTGGGTTGGTATATAGGTTGGGGGGTTTTGGTGGAGTGGTAGGGTTTGTGGGGTGGTTGTGGTGGGGTGGGTTGTGGTGTGGTGTTGTTTGGGTGTGGTTGTGGGTTGGGGGGGGGTTGTGGGGGTGGTGGTATTGGGGGGTGTGGTGGGGTGTTGTGGTTTGTTGGTGGGGGGGGGGGTGGGGTTGGGTAGGTGGTTGGTGGGGTGGTGTGTATATGGATGGGGGGTTGGTTTTGGGTGTGGTGATGGGGGTGGTGGGTGGTAGTTGTGGTTTGTGTGGTGTTATGGGGGGGGGGGGGGGGGGGGGGGGTTGGGGGGGTGGGGGTTTTGGTGAGTAGGGGGGGGGGGGAGGGTGGGGGTTGGGGTGGGTTTGGGGGTGGTGTGGGTGGGGGGGGGGGGGGGGGGGGGGGTGGGGGGGGGGGAGGGTGGGTGTTTGGGTGGTGGGGTGAGGGTGTGGGGATGGTTTGTGGGGGGTGGGGGAATGGGGGTTGGGAGGGGGTATTGTGGAGTGGGTGTGGTGTGGAGTGGGTGGGGGTTGGGGGTGGTATTTAATTAGTGGTAAAATGGTTATGGGTGAGTTGTGAATTGGTAAATGAGGTAGGGGGGGGTGGGGAGTTATTGGAGGGTTTGGGGATAGGGTGGGATATGGGGGGGGGGGGGTGGATTTAGGGGGGGTGGGTGGATTGGGGTGATTTGTAATTGGGGGTATATGTTTGGGTGGGGGTGGATTGGGGGGGGGTGGGGTGGGGGGGGGGGTTGGTGTGGGGGGGTTTGGGGTTGGGGGGGGGGGGGATTGTTTGTGGGGGGGGGTGGGGGGGGGGGGGGGTGGGATTTTATGGGGGGGGGTTTGTGTTGGTTTGGGGTTTGGGGGGGGGGTGGGGTTGTGTTGGGGGGGGTGGGGGGGGGGGGTGGGGGATGGGTGTGGGTGTGTGGGGTGTTGGGGGGTGGTTGGTGGGTTGGGGGGGTGGTGGGGGGGGTGTTGTGGGGGGGGGGGTTGTGTGGGGGGTTGGGTTGTGGGGGGTGTGTGGTGTGGTGGGGGGGTTGGGGTGGGGGTGTGGGTGGGGGGGGATGGGGGGGGTTGGGGGATGGGGTTGGTGTTGTGGGTTGGTGGGGGGGGGGGATTGATGTTTATGGGGATGGGTGTGGGGTGTTGGTGGGTGGGATGTTGGAGGTGGGGGGTGGGGGGTGGGATATGGTGGGTTATGGGGGGTGGGGTTGTAGGGAGGATTGTTGGGGTTGGTTTTGTTTGGTGGGTTGGTGTTGGGGGGGGGGGGGGGGTGTTGGTTGGATGGTTATGAGGGTGGGGTGGGGTTGGGGTTGGGGAGGGTTGGGGGGGTGGTGTATTATATTGGGGGGTGGGGGGGTTGTTTTGTATGGTTGGGGGGGGGGGGGGGTGGGGTGGTTTGTGTTGGGTGGTGGGGGGGTGGTGGGGGTTGGGGGTGGTGGGTGTTGGGGTGGGTGTGGGTGGGGGTAAGGTGGGGTGGTGGTGGGGGGTTTTTTGGTTTGGGTGTGGGTGGGTGGGGTGGGTGGGGGGTTTGGGGGGGGGGGGGGGGGGGTGGGGGGTTGGAGTGGGGGGGGGGTGGGGGGGTGGTGTTGTTGGTGGGGGGTGGGGGGGGGGGGGGGGGGGGTTGGTGTGGTATGTTGGGTGTGTTGGTGTGTTGGTGGGGGGGTGGGGGTGGTGGGGGGGGGGGGGGTTGGGTGGGTGGGTTTGTTGTTGGGGGGGGGTGGGAGGGTGGGGGGGTGGGTGTGTTGGGTTGGGGTGGTGGGGGGGGGGGTGGGGGTGTGGTTGGGGGGGTTGTGTGGGGGTTTAGTTTTAGTTGGGGGGGGGTGGGTGGTAGTTGTATGGATGTGGGGGGTATTGGTATGTGTTGTGTAGTAGGTTGGTTGTGGGTGGGTAGGGTTGATATGTAGAGTGGGGGGGGGTGTGGGGGTTGGATGTTGTTGGGGTGTTTTTGTGGGGGTGTGTGGTTAGGGGGAGGGGTTAGGGTGTGTGTATGGGTTGGGTGTTGTGGGTGTTATTGTATTTTTTGGTTGTTTTTTGTTGTTTTTGGGGGGGGGTTATTGGGGGGGGGGGGGTGGTGGGGGTGGGGGGGGGGTGATGTGGGGGGTTGTGATAAGGTAGGGTGGGGGAGTTTAGGGGGGTGTTGTTGTGTGGTGTGTGGGGGTTTGAATTTGGGGGTATGTATGGTGGGGTGTGGGTTGGGTTGGGTGAGGGGTTGTGGGGTTATGGGGGGGTATGGTGTGAGGGTTGGGGGTTTGGTTGGGGTGTGGTTGATGGGTGTGAGGTTTGTGGGGGGGTGGTTTTGTAATTGAGTTGGGTGATTGAGATGTGGGTGAAGTTTGGGGTTATAAGGGGTGGTGGTGGGGGGGGTGTTTTAAGTGTGGGTGGGGGGGTTGGGTGTGGGTATTAGTGTGAGTGTGGGGGAGGGGGTTGGTGATGTAGGGTAGAGTTTATGGTTTGTGTGTGTGATTATGGGGGTTGGGTGAGGGGGGATGGGGGGGGGGGTTTTTTTATGGTTTGTTTGTGTTTAGGGTTTTGGGTATGGGGGGGGGGTTGGGGTGGTGGGGGTTGTTGTGTTGGAGGTGTTGATTTGTGTGTTTGTTTGGTTGGATGTTGGTTTGATGGGGGATTGGGGTGGGATTTGGGGGTGGGTTTGGGGGATGGGAGTGGTGTTGATGGGGGGTTGGGTGGAGGTTGATTGGGAAGGGGTTGGGGGTTGGGTTGTTGGGGGGGGTTAGGGGGTGGGGGGGTTTGGGGTTGGTTATGTTGTGGGTGTTGTGGGGGTGGGTGGTGTGGGGGGGGTGTTTGGGTGGGGTAGGGTGGGTGGGGGGGGGGGTGGTGGGGGGTTGGGGGGTGTGTTTGGGGGGGGTGGGGGGGGTTGTTGGGTGGGGAGGAGGGGGGGGATGGGGGGGGGGGGGGGGGTGGGGGTTTGGGGGGGGGTTGGTGGGGGTTGGGGGGGGGGGGGGTGTGGGTGGGGGGATTGGGGGGGGTGGGATGGGGGGGAGGGGTTGGGTGTTGGGTGTGTTGGTGTGGGGGGGGGGTGGGTGGTTGGGGGTTGGGGTGGGGTGGTGGTTGGGTGTGTGGGTTGGTTGTGGGTGGTTGGGTGGGTGTGGGGGGGGGGTGGTGTTTGGGGGGGTGTGGGGGGTTGGGTGGGGGGGGGTTTGTGGTGGGGTTGGGGGTGGTGAGGGTGGGGGAAGGGGGGTGGGTGTGGGGTGGGGTGGTGGGGTAGGGTATATTTTTGGGGGGGGGTAGGGGGGTGGGTGGGGGTTGTATGGAGGGGGGGGGTTTGGGGTGTGTGTTGGGGTGGGGGTGGGGTGGGGTGGGGGTTGGGGGGGGGGGGGGGGGGGGGGGGGGGGGGGGGGGTGGGGGGGGGGTTTGTGTGGGTGGGGGTGGGGGGGGGGGTGTTGGGGGGGTTATGGGGTGTGGGTGGGGGTTGTGGGTGGTGTTTAATTGGGTAAGGGGGGTTTGGTTGGTAGGGGGATTAGGAGGTGGGTTTGGTTGGGGGTTATTAGAGTGTTTGAAGTTAAAGGGTTAGGGGGGGGAGGATTAATGAGATTATAATTGGAGGGGGAGAGGGTAAGGAAATTTTAGGAGGTAGGTTAATTGGTGATGGATGGTGTTTTTTGATAGGAGATGTGGGTTATGTTTGGGAGTTTAAGTGGATTTGGGTATGTTATGGGTTAATTGATGGGGATGTTGGGTTGGGGGATTTTGTGAATGGGGTTTGGATGGGTGTGGGGGGGGTGGGGGGGGGGTGTAGGGGTGGTGTGGTGTGGAGGGGTTTGTGGGTTGTGGGGGTTGGGGGGGGGGTTAGGTGGATTGATTTGGATGTGGATTGTTTTTTTATGTGGATTGGTGGTTGGGGGGGGGGAATATGGAGGGAAGGGATAATTGGGTGTAAGTTAGGTAAATTTTAATTTAGGTTGGTGTGATTATGGAAAGTTTGGGGATATGGGGTGGATGGGATTTGGATGGTGGTGGAGGGATGGGGGGGGATTTTATTGGGTTGATGGTTTTTGTGGGGGGGGGGTTTTAGGTATGTGGTTTTGTTTGGTATGTTTGTGAAGGGGATTGTTGGAGTGTGGTGTTGTGTTGTGGTGTGAAGAGTGGGGGGGTGGGAAATGGGGGTTTGGTAATGTTTAAGGAATAGGTTGTGATTTTGTTTAGGGGATTGAGAGATTGGTTTTGTGAGGGGAAGGAGATTGTTATTGTATATGGGGGATAGGGATAAGGGGGGGGTTGGGGGTGGGGGTGTTTTTGGGTTTTGGGATGTGTATTAATATGTTGGTGGGGAGGATTATTGGTAGATGGGTGGGGGTTATGGGAAATGGAATGTTTGATATTGGGAGGGGAATAGTAGAGGATGGTTAGGTTGGGGGGTGTTGTATGGGATGGTAGGGGGGATGTGAGGGGAGAGTTTGGGGGGGAGGTTGTTTTGTGTTTTGTGGGTGGGTGTGGTGTGGGTGGTGTTTGGTGTTTTGGGGGTTGGGTATGGTGGGTGTTGGTGTGGTTGTTTGTTGTTTTGGGATGGGGGGGTGTTGTGGGGGGAGGGGGGTAGGGAGGTGTTGGGGGGGGGGGTTGGGGGGGGGGGGGGGGGTTGATGGTTTGGGGTGGTAGGGGTGGGTGGATTGGGGGTGGGGTGTGTGGGTGGTGGGGGAGGTAATTAGGGGGGGTGGTGGTTATGTTGGGGGGTTGGTGGGTGGGGGGGGGGGTTGGTGTGTGGTGGTTAGGTGGTAGGGTAGGGGAGGGGGGTATTTAGGTGGGATGTGGGATTTTGTGGGGTTTTTTTGATAGTTTTGTGTTTGTATGTGTTTTTTTGTTGTTATTGGGGGTTTGTTGTGATTGTTGGTGTTGTGGGGGTTGGGGTGTTTTTTGAGGTGTGATGGTTGTTGTTTTGGGGGGGGGTGGGGGTTGTTTTGTGGGGGGGGTTTGGGGTGTGGGGGGGGTGTTTGGGGGGGGGGGTGTTGGGGTGGTTGGGGGGGGGGGTGGGTGGTGGGGGGGGGGGGGGGGTGGGGGGGTTGGGGGGGTGTGTTTGGGGGGGTAGTGGGGGGGGGGGGGGGGGGGGGTGGGGGGGGGGGGTGGTGGGGGGGGGGGTTTGTTGTGTTGGTTTGGGTTGTGGGATGTGGTTGTGTGGGGTATTGAGTGGGGTTGTTGATCTTTTTAGGTTGAAGTGTGTGTAGATAGGGGGGATGGGGTTTAGTTTGGTGTTTTAGGTGTGGGTTGGGGGGGGGGGGGGGTGTGTGTTTGAGGTTTGTGGTGTGTTTGGGGTGGGGGGGGGGGGGGGGGTGGGGTGGTGGGTGGTTAGGGTGGTTTGGGGTTAAGGGTATGGTTTTTAGAGGGTATGTTGGGTTGGGGGGGGGGTTAGTGGGGGTTTGAGTGGGGTAGTGGGGGGGGGGGGGTGGTGATATGGGGGGGGGGGGGGTTGTGGGGTATGGAGGGGGTTTGTGTTGGGGTGTGGGGGTGGGTTGGGTGGGGGGGGGGGGGGTGGGGGTTGGGGTGGGGGTTTGGGGGGTGGTGTGTTTGGTTGGGTGGTTGGGGGGGGTGGGGGGGGGGGGTGGGGGGGTTGGTTGTGGGGGGGGTGTGGGGGTGTGGGGGGTTTGGTGTGGGGGGGTTGTTGGTTGGGGGTGGGGGGTATGGGGTTGTTGGGGTGGTATTGATGGAGTGATAGTGGGGGTAGGAGTTGTAGTGTTGGAGGTTTTGTTGTGGGTTGGGGTGGGGTGGGGTTTTGGGATGGGGGGTTTTTTTTGTGGGGATGGTGGATGGGGGTGATAGTGTGTGGTGGGGGGGGTTTGTTTTTTTGGGGGTTTGGGTGGTGGATGGGGGGGAGTAGTTGATGGGGGGGGGGGGGGGGGGGTGGGTTGGGGGATGGGGGGGTTTGGGGGGATGGGGAAGTGGGGTATTGTAGTTTGGTGTAGGGGGGGTATGGGGGGGGGGGGGGATGAGGTTGGGGTAAGGGATTTGATTGGTGAATTGTGGGGTTGTTGGGGATGTGAGTGGGTTGTGATGTGGTGTTTATTTTTAGTGATGTTGGGTTTGTGGGGTTGGGGGTTTTAAGGGTGGGGTTTTGGGTGTGGGGGAGGTTGTTGGGGGGTGTTGGTTTGGTGGGTGTGTGGTGGGGTGTAGTGGGGGTGGTTGGGGTGATAGGTGGGGGGGGGTGGGGGGGGTTGGATTGGGGGTGGGGTTGGGGTTGTGAGTTTTGGGGGGGGTGTTGGGGGTAATATATTGGTGGTTTAGGTGTGGGATTATGGGGTGGGGGGGGTTTTTGGTGGGGGTTGGTGATGGTGGAGGTGTTTTATGGGTGGTGTTAGGTGGGATAGTGGGGGGGGGGGAGTGGTGGAAATGTGGTTGTGGGGGGGTATTGGTGGTGTTTGTTGGGGGGTGGGGGGGGGGGGGGGGGGTTTTGGTGTGTATGTGTTTGGGATATATTGGTGGGGGGTTGGTTGTGGGGGGGTTTTGGGGTTGGGGGTGTTTGGGGGTTTTTTGGGGGGTTTTGGTTTTTGGGTGGTTGTTGGTTGGGGGGGGGGGGGGGGGGGGGGAGGTTGGGGGTTGTGGGGGTTTGTGGTGGGATGGGGGTGGGGGGGGGGGTTGGGGGTGGGGTAATGTGGGGGGTGGGTTTGGGGGTGGTTTTTGGGGTGGGGTTTGGGGTTTGGGGGTTTGGGGGGGTGTGGGGGTAGGGTTTGAGGGTAGGGGGGGGGGGGGTGGTTTGGTTTGGGGGATTGGTAGGGTTGGGATTGTGTGGTTGGTGTGTGGGGTTGGTGGGTGTGTAGGGATTGGAGGGTGGGGTTGGTGGTGGGGTTGGAGGGTGGTGGGGGGATTTGTTGGGAATGATGGGATGTATTTTTTTTGTTGTTTTAATGGGTTGGTTGGGTAGGGGGAGTATAATAATTGTTGGGATGAATGGGATAGTTTTGGGTGTGGTTGGGGGGGTGTGTGAGGATTGGGGTGTATAATTGGTTGTTGGGTTGTTGGTGGGGGATGGGGTTTATGATGGGTTTTGTGGTGGTGTTGGGTGGGGTTGGGGGGGGTATGGGTGGGGGGATTTTGGGTTGGAGTGGTTGTAGGGTGGGTGTGGGGGTGTTTGGGTGGTGGGGGGGGGTTTGGGGGAGGGGATGGTTTGGGGGGGGGGTTGGTTTGGGGAGTTTGGGTGGTTGGGTGGGAGGGGTGGGGGGGTAGTGGGGGGTGTTGTGGGTGGGGTGGTAGTTTGTTGTATTTGGGTTGTGTGTGGAGTTGGTGGGGGGGGGGGGGTGGGGGTGTTTGGGGGGGGGGGGGGTGTTTTGTTTGGGGGGGGGGTGTTTTGGGGGGGGGGGGGGGGGGGGGGGTGTGTGGGTTTTGGGGGGGGGGTGGGTTGGGGGGATGGGGTGAGGATTAGTTGGTGGTTGTGTTGGTTTTAGATTGGCTGAGTTGGGGTTGGGTGTGGGGGGGTGGTTTGGTGGGGGGGTTGGGTGTGGGGGGGTGTTTGGATTTGTGGGGGTGGGGGTGTTGGGGTGGTTGGGGGGTGTGGTTTGGGGGGTGGTGTGGTAGGGGGGGGGGGGGGTGGGAGGGGTTTTGTGTGGGTGTGGTTGGTGGTTGTGTGGGTTTGGGTGTGTTGTTTTGGGGGTGGGTGGATTGTGGGGGGTGGGTGGGGGGTGTTAGGTGGGGGGGGGGGGGTTGTAGGTTGTTGGGATAGGGGGGTTGGGGTTTGTGGGGTGTGGTTGGGTGTTTGGGGATTATTGGGGGGGGGGGGGGTGTTGGGGGTGGTGTTGGGGGGGGTGGGGGTAGGGGGGGGTGGTGGGGTGTGTTGTGGGTTGGAGGTGGGGGTTTAGGGGTTTTGTGGGGGGTGAGATGGTGGGGGTAGGAGGTTTTGTTGAGTTGTTTAGAGATATTGTGGTTGTATTAGAGGGGTTGGGGGGGAGTAGGATTTATGGGGAAAGTGTTGGGTAGGTGTGTGAATTTGGTTGGATTGAATTGGGGATTTGGTGGGTTTAGAGTGTTTAATGATATTTGGGGGTAGGGGTGTGGGGGGTGGGTTTTATGTAGGTGTAGTATGGGGGTTTGTGAGGTTGTGGGGGGGTATTTGTATTGTTTGGGATGGGTGAGTTGGGGGTGTTTGGTTTGGTGTGGTAGGTGGGGGGGAGGGTGGGGGGTATTTTATTTTTAGGGGGGTGTTTGGTGGTGGGGGGGTGGGATGGTGTGGTGGGGGGTGGGGGTTTTGTTTGTGGGTGGGTAGTGGGTTTGTGGGTGTGTAATATAGGTTGGGGTTGATGGGGTAGTGGTGGGGGGGTAGTGTTTGGGTAGATGGGGATGTGGGTTGGGGGTTGGTTGGTTGATTTGTTGGTATGGGGGTGGGGGTGGTTGTGAGTTTGGGGGGTGGGTGGGGGGTTTGTTATAGTATTGGGGGGGGGGGGGGTGGTGGGTTAGGTGGGGGGAAGGGGATGGTGTTGGAGATTGTAGTTGTGGTGGGGTGGTAGGGTGGTGTTTGTTTTGGTGGGTTGTTGGGTGGTTGGGGTTGGTGGTGGGTTGGGTGGGTGGGTTGTGGGGGGTATGGTTTGGGGGTTTGTGTGTGGGGGGGATGGTTGGGTTGGGTGGTGGGGGGTGGGTGGGAATGGGGTGGGATGGTTTGTTGTTTGGGGGTGGAGGGGAGAGTGATTTTGTTGGTGTTTGGATGGTTTTGTGTTGGGTTGGGATGTGGGTTTTGGGGGGGGGTGGGTGGGGGGGGAGGGGGGGGGGGGGGGGGGGGGGGGGGGGGGGGGGGGGGGGGGGGGGGGGGGGGGGTGGGGTGGGGTGTGGTTTGTTGGGGGGGGTGGGTGGGGGGGGGTGGGGGGGGGGGGTGGGGTTGGGGGGGGGGGGGGGGGGGGTGGGTTTTGTGTGGTGGTGGTTTGGGTGGGGTTGTGTTTTTGGGGGGGTGGGAGTTGGTGTGGAGTTTGGGGGGGTGTGTGGTGTTGTGTGGGTGTAGGTGTTGTTGTGTGGGGTTTTGGGGGGGGTGGGTGTATTTGTGGGTGTGGGTGGAGTGTAGGGGGTGGGGGGGGTGGGGGGGGGGATGGGGGGTTGGGTGTTGTATGTGTGGGTGGTTTGTGTTTGGGGGGGGGGGGTTGATTGGGTTGGGGTGGGGGGGGGGGGTGTGGGTGTGGGTGGGGGGGGGGGGTGGGGGGGGGGGGTGTTGGGGGGTGGGGGGGGGGGGGGGGGGGGGTTGGGTTGGGGTGGGGTGGGGTTTTGGGGGGGGGGGTTTGGGGGGGTGGTTGGGGGGGTGTTGTGGGGGGGTTGGGTTTGGGGTTGTTGGGGGGGGGGGGGGTGGGGGGGTTGGGGGGGGGTTTGTGTGTGTGGTTGGGTGGGGTGTGTTTGTGTGTTTGGTTTGGGTGTGGGTGGGGGGGTGGGGTGGGTGGGTTTGTTGAGTGGTTTGGGTGGGGGGGTTGTGGGGGGGTGGGGTGGGAGGGGGGGGGGGGGGGGTTGGTGGGGGGGGTTAGATGGATAGGGGTGAGTAGTGGGAGTGGGGGGGGGAGGGGAGAGTTGGGTTGATTGTAGTGGGGGGGGGATGTGGTGTTGTTGGTATGGTAGTGTGATTTGATATTGGATGAGAAGAGAGGGGAGGGATGGGGATTGTAGGTGAGGGATGAGGGAAAGAGAAGGGGGAATGGGAGAGGTGTGGTTTGAGTGGTAGGGTGTGTAGTAGGGGATATGGGAGGGGAGGGAAGTTAGGGTAAGGGGGTGTGAGAAGGGGGGGGGATGGGGGGGGGGGAGTTGGATATGGGTAGGAAAATGGGTATTAGGGGTAGAGGGGATAGGGGAATAAGTGGAGGGGTTGGTGTGTTTGTGTTGGGGTTTGGGGTTGTTGTTGTTGTTTTAGGTTGTTTTTTGGGTGGGGGGATGAGGGTTTTGGGATTTGGTTGGTGGTAGTGTGGGTTGTGGGGGGGGGGGGGAGGGGTGGGGTGGGGTATTGTAGGGTGGTGGTGTATGTGTTGTGTGTGGTTGTTGGTGGGGGTGGTGGTGGGGATGGTGGTGTGGGGGTGGGGGGGGGGGGGGGGGTAGTGGAGTATTGTTGGTGGGGGGTGTATGGTGGTTGGGTGGGGGGGTTTAAGAGGGTAGGGGGTTGGTTGGTGTGGTTTGATGTTGGTGAAGTTGTGGGAGTTGGGTTTATTGTGTGGTTGAGGGTTTTGGTGAGGGAGAGGAGTTTTGTGGTGGGGTGATTGTATTTGATTTGGGGGTGGGGGTTGGGGGGGGGGGGGGGTTTTAGGGTTTTAGGATATGGGGTGTGGTGGTGGGTGTGGGGTGGGGTATATGTTTTGTGGGGGGGGGGGGGGGGGGGTGGGGGGGGGGGGGGGTGGTGGGGGTGGGGGTATTGGGGGGTGGGATATTAGGTGGGGTTGTTGGGTGGGGGGTGGGGGGGGGGATGGGTTTGGGGGGGGGGGGGGGTGGGTGGTGGGGTGGGGGGGGGGGGGGGGTTTGGGTGGTGGGTTGTTGTTGGGGTTGTGGGGGGTTGGGTTGTGGTGGGTGTGTGTAGAGTTGGGGTTGTGTTGGGTGTGGGGGGGGGGGGGTGGGGGGGGTGTGGGTGGGGGGGGGGGGGGGGGGGGGGTGGGGGGGGGTGTGGGGGGGGGGGGGGGGCAGTTGGGGTGGGGGGGTAAGTGTGGGTTTGTGTGGGTGGGGGGGTGGGGGTGGAGTGGATGTGGTGGAGGTGGTGGGGGGGGTGGGGTTGGGGGTGGGGTTGGTGTTGTTGGTGGGGGGGGGGGGTTGGTGGGGTGTGGTGGGGGGGGTTGGGGGGGGGGATTGTTGTTGGGGGGGTGTGGTGGGTGTGGTTGGGGTGGGGGGTTTGTTGTGGGGTTGGGGGGGGTGTGTGTTTGTGGTGGTTGGTTGGGGGGGGTGGGTGTGGTGGGGGGGGGGGGGGGGTGGGGGTGGGGTGTGGTGGTGGGGTGGGGGGGGGGGTTGTGGGGTGGGGGGGGAGTTTTTTTGTATTGTTTTTGTGGTAGGGGGTTGGGTGGGGGTGGTGTGGGGGGTGTGGTTTGGGGGTTGGGGTGGGGGGGGGGTGGGGGGGTGGGGGGGGGTTTGGTGGGTGTTGTGGGTTGGGGTTGTTTGGTTGGGGGGGGTGGGGTTGGTGGGGGTGTGGGGTTGGGGGGGGGGGGGGGGGGGGGGGGGGGGTTGGGGGGGGGGGGGGGTGTGTTTGTTGGTTGGTGGGGGTTTGTGGATGGGGGGGGTAGGGGGGGGGTGTGGGTTGTGGGGTGGTGGGGTTGGTGTTTGGGGTGGGTGGGTGGTGGGGGGTGGGGGGTGTGGGTGGTTGGTTTGGGGGGGGGGTGTGGGGGGTGGGGTGTTGGGGGTTGTGTTGGTGGGGGTGGGGTGTTGTTGGTGGGGGGGGGGTGGGGGGGGTTTTGTTTTTGGGTTGGGGTGTGTGGGGTGTGGGGTTATTTGGGGTTTGGTGGGGGGTTGTGGGGTGGGGGGTGGGGGGTTGGGGGGGTGGGGGTGTTGTGTTTGGTGGATGGGGGGTGGGTGGGGTGGTTGTATTGGATGGGTGGTTGGGGGGGGTGGGAGTGTGGGGGGGGGGTGGGTTGTGGGGGGGGGGTGGGTAGGGTTGGGGGGGTGAGGTGGTTGTGGGTGGGTGTGGGGGGGGTATGGTATTTGGGTTGGATTTGGGGGTGGGTGGGGGGGTGGGGGGTTGGTGAGGTGTGTTTGGATCTTTTGTGGGGTGGGTGGTTGAGGTATGTGGTGTTGGTGGTTTGGGGGGTGTGTTGGTGGGGGTGTTGGGGTGTGTGGGGTGTGGGGTGGGGTGTGTTGGTGGGGGTTTGGGTTTTGGTGTAGGGTGGGGGTTGGGTGGGGGGGGGGGAGTTTGGGGGGGTAGGTGTGTGGTGTTGGGGTTTGTTTTGGTGGGGGGGGGTGGTGGGGGTTGGGGTGTTTGTTTATTGTGTGGGTTGGTGTTGTGTTGGGGGGTTGGGTGGGTTGTTGGGTGTTGGGTTGATGAGGTGGGTAGGAGTGGGTGATTTGGTGTTTGGGGGGGGGGTGGGGGGTAGGGGGTTGGGGGTATAGGATATAGGGGAGGGGTTTTGGGGGGGTGGTTTTGTGGGTGGTAGTAAGTTTTGGAGGGGGGGTGGGTGGTGGTGGGGGTGGTGAGGGGAGGTGTAGGGGGGTTGGGTTGGGGGGGATGGGGTGGTTGGGTGGGGGTGGTGGGTTATTTGGGGGGAGGGGGGGGATTAAGTGGAGGTGAGTGGGTTGTAGGGGGGGTGGGGGTTGGGTGGGATTAGTTGGGTTTTGGGGGTGGTGGTGGTTTTTGGTTATTGTAGTAGGGGGGGGGTGGTGTATTTGAGGGTTTGGGATATGGGGTGGTATTTATGGGGGGGGGGAGGTTTGTTGGGTGAGTGTGGGTGTATGGTTTTGGGTATAGGTATGGTGGGGGGTGTGGGGGGGGGGTGGGGGGGGGGGGGGTGTGTGGTGGGGGGTGTTGTGGTTGGGGGGGAGGGGGGGGTTGGGGGGGGGGGGGGTATGGGGTTGGGTATTGTTAGGGGGGGGGGGTTTTGGTGGTGGTGTTTGTGGGGGGGGTGTTGTGGGGGGAGGGGGGGGGGGGGGGTGTTGGGGTGGGATGTTGGGGTGTATGGGTTAGGTTGTGTGGGGGGGGGTTTGGGGGGGTTGTGGGTGGGGGGGGTGTGTGGGGGGGGGTGGGGGGGTTTGGGGGGGGTTTGATTGAGGGGGTGTGGTGGTTTGGGGTTGTGGGGGGGTGGGTGGGGGGGGGGGTTGGTATTGGGGTTTGGGGGGGTGTTGGGGGGGGTTGAGGTTTTGGGGGGGGGGGGGGTTGTTGTGTTGAGGGGGTGGTGGGGGTGTGTGGAGGGGTGGTGAGGGGGGATGTTGGTGGTGGGGGAGGGTTAGGGTGGGGTTTTGGGGGGGTGTTTGTTGGGGTGTAGGGGGGTAGGAGGGTTGGGGTGTGTGAGGGGGGGGGGGGTGTTGGTGGAGTTTGTGGGTATGGGTGGTGGTGGGGTGTTGGGGTTTTTGTGGGGGAGGTGAGTTATTTTTGGGGGGTGGGGGGGGGGTGAGTTGGTGTGGGGTTTGGGGTGGGGGTGTTATTGTGTTAGGGGGGGGTGGGTTGGTGGTGGTGGTAGGGGGGGGTTGGGGGGTGGGTGGGGGGTGGGTTTGTTGGGTGTGGTGTGGTGGGGTTTTGGGTGGGAGGGTGTGGGTAGGGGGTTGTGGGGGTTGGGGGGTTTTGGGGGGTGGGGGGGTTTGTGTGGGGGGGTGGGGTGGGTGGGGTGTTGGTGGGGGGGGTTGGGGGGGGGGGGGTTGGTTGTGATTGTGTGGTGGGGGTAGGGTGTGTTGTGGTGGGTGGGGGGGGTGGGGGGGGGGGGGTGGTGGTTGTTGTGGGAGTTTAGGGGTGGTTGGGGTGGGGTGGTTGGGTTTGGTGGGGGGGGGGGGGGTGGGGGGGTGGGGTTGGGGGGTTGGGGATGTGTGGGTGGGAGTGGGTTTGGTGGGGTGTTTTTGTTTGGGTTGTGTGGGGATTGGTTATTTTTGATGTATATAGTTGGTGTGTTGTGGGGATGGGGGTGAGGGTTGTGGGTATGATGGGGGGGGTGTAGGGTTTGTGTATTGGTAGATTTGGGGTATAGGGGGTTGGTAGGGTGGGGGTGAGTGATTAGGTTATGGAGATGGGTTTATGGAATTTTAGGTGTGGAGTATGTGTTGATTTGGGGGTTTTGGGGGGGTATGGGGGGGTGGGGGGGGTGTAGGGGGGGATGGTGTAAAGGGTAGGGTGTGGTAGGGGTTGTTGTGTGTTGTGAGGGGTTTTTGTAGGGGGTGTGGTTGTTGGTGGGGGGGGGTTGGTGTGGGGTTGTTGTGGGTTGGTGGTTGAGGGGGGGGTGTTGGGTGTGGGGGGGGGGGTGTGGTGGGTTGTGTTGTTGGGATTGTGTGAGGGGAGTGGGTTTGTGGGATTTTTGTGGAGGGTTTTTTGAAGTAGGGGGATATTTTTTGGTAATGGTTGGTGGGTGGGGGGTGTTATGTGTTGTGGGGGGGGGGTTAGGGTGAAGGGGGTTTGTGGTGGGGTGGTGGGGTGGGGTGGGGAGTTAGGGTGTGTTGTTTTGGGGGGGTTTGTGTGGTTGTTATTTGGGGTTGGGGGGGGGGGATGGGGGGGGAGGGGGGGGGGGGTTGGGGGGGTTAGTTGGGTGGGTTGGGTGTATTTTTTTTTATGGGGTGTGGGGGGGGGGGTAGGGGGGGGGGGGGGTGGGGGTTGATTTGGTATGGAGGGTTTATTGTTGTATGTGTGGAGGGGTTGGTTGTGGGGGATTTGGGTGGGGTAGGGGTGGTTGGGTTGGGTATGTTGTTGGTAGGGGTTTGGGGTGGTGTGTGTTGGTGGGGGGGGGTTTTGGGGGGGGGTTTTTGGGGGGTGGGGTAGGGTAGTTTTGGTGGGTGTGATGGGTGTTAGGGGTGGGAGGTGTGGGGGGGGGTGGGGGGGTGGGGGGGGGGGGGGGTGTGGGGGGGTGTGTGGGGGGGGTTGGGGGGTGGGTTGGGGTTGGGGTGTTGGTGGGGGGTGTTGGTGGGGGGGGTGGGGGGGGGGGGGGTGGGGTGGAGGGGGTTGTGGGGGGTGGGGGGGGGGGGGTGGGGGGTGGGGGGGGGGGGGGGGGATTGGGGGTGTGGGGGGGGGTGGGGGGGGTTTGGGGTGTGGTAGGGGGTTGGGGGGGGGGGGGGGGGGGTGGTTGGGGGGGGTGGGGTGGTTTTGGGGTTGGGTGGGGGGGGGGGGGGGTGGGTTATGGGTGTGGGTGGGGGGGGGGGGTGGGGGTTGGGGGGGTGAGGGGGGTTGGGGAGGGTGGTGGGTTTGGGGGGTGGTGTTGGGGGGAGTGGGTTTGGGTGTGGTGGGGGGTGGTTTGTTGTGTGGGGTTGTATTGGTTGGGGGGGGTTTGTGTGGGGGGGGGGGTATGTATTGTGGGGTTGTGGTGTGTGTTTGGTGGGGGGGTGGGTGGGGGGGGGGTTTGGGGGGGTGGGGGGGGGGGGGGGGGGGGGGGGGGGGTTTGTTGGGGGTGGGGGTGTGGGGGGGGGGGGGGTGTTGGGGGGTTTGGGGGTGTGGGTGGGGGGGTTTGGTGGGGGTTTTTTGGGAAGAGGGGGGGGTGAGTGGTGGGGAGGTGTGGGGTGGGTGTGGTGGGGTTTGTTTGGTGGTTTGGTTGTTTTGGTTGGGGGGGGGGTGGATTAAGGGAGTTTTATGGTGGGGGTTAGGGTATAGGATATTGTGTGTGGGTGGTGGTTATGGGGGGTTTGATTGGGGGGGGGTGATGGTTTGAGTAGGGTGTTTTTGTTGTGTGTTAGGTGGGGTTTTTGGTTTGTTGGGGGGGGGTATTGTAGGTTGTGGGGATTTTGTGAGGGGGGGGTGGTTGGGGTGGGGGTGGGGGGGGGGGGGTTGGGGTGTGGGTGTGGGGGGGTGTAGGGGTTTTGTGGGGGGTAGTGGGGGTTGGGGGTGATGATTTGAGTGGTGGGGGATTTGTGGGTGTATGTGGGTGGTGGTTGGGGGTGGGGGGGGTTTTGAGGAAGTTTTTGGTTTATGTTTAGGTTGATATTTGAATTGTAGGAGGTGTGTTGTTGGTAGTTTTGGGGGGGATGATGGGGTGGTGGGTTTTGGTGGTGGTGGGATAGGGGGTGATTGGATTGGGGTTGTTGTGTTTGTGGGGGGGAGTTTTTGGGGTTAATGGGGTTTTGTTTGGTATGGTTTTGTAGGGATTGTTGGTTTGTGGTGTTGTGTTTGTGGGTGTGGAGAGGGGGGGTGGTTAATGTGGTGTTGGGAAGGTTTTAGATAGGTTGATTATTGGTGTGTGGGGAATTGTGTGAGTTTGTTTTTTGGGGATATAGGGTAGATTTGTTATGTTTGATGGGGAAGGGATAAGTGGGGGTTGGGTGGGGGTGTTTTGGGATTGGGGGGGGGGGAAATGTGGTATAATAAGGTATGTATGGGGGGGGGGGGTTGATATGTGGAGTGGTGGGGTTATGGATGGATGGAGATGTTTAGATTTTGGGGGGATGGGGGGGAATTTGTAAGATGGGTTAGTGGGGGTGTTGTTGATGTAGTGGGGGGATGATGTGGGGGATGGAGTTTGGGGGAATGGGGGATGTTTGAGGAGGATGTGATGATTTTTTATGTATAGATGGGTTGGAGATGAGGGGGGGAGGGGGGGGAATTTAGGTGATGTTTGGGGTATGGGGGTGGGGGATTATGGAATGGGGTGAGTTGGGATGGATTGGGGGGGTGGTGGGTGGTGGTGTGGAGGGTAAGAAGGGGGGTGTGGGGTTTATTTGTGGGATGGGGGGGGATGGGGGGGGGGTTTTGTTTTTTGGTGGATATGTTGGTGGGGTAGGTATTGGGAAATTATAGGGAGAGGGATGTATGAGGGGTATTAGTAGAAGAATAGAGGTAAGATATTTTTAGGGTTGGATATGGGGATGATTTATATAGGGTTATGAGGGGGTTTGGTTATTTTAGATGAGATAGAGATTATTATTATAGGTGGGTGGTGTTTTGTTGGTGGTTGAGGGGGGAATGGGTAGTGGGGGTGTGGGGGGGGGTGGTTTTGGTTGGTATGGGGGGGTGGTGGGGGTTGGGGGTGGTGGGGGGGTGGGGGGTTATGTGGGGGGGTTGGGGTTTTGGGGGGGGAGTGGGGGGGGGGGGGGGGGGGGTTGGGTTTGGGGGGTGGGGAGGTGGGGGGGTGGTTTTGGTGTGTATAGTGGGGATGAGGGGGGGAGATGGTTTGGGAAGGGGGTGGATGTTGTGTTGGAGTAGATTTTTTTTAGGGGTGGTGTGTTGGATATTGGGGGGTGGGGGTTAGTTTGTGGATATGGAGGGGGGGGGTGGGGGGGGTGTTTTTGTGGTGGGGGGGGTGGTTAGGGTGGGTTGGGGGGGGGGGGGTGGTGGTGGTTTATGGGTGGGGGGGTGGGGGGGTATTTGGGGTGTGGGTTTTTGGGGTGGGGTAGGAGGGGTGGGTTGTATGTGTTTTGGTGTGGGTTGGGGGTGGGTGGTGGGATGTGGATTATGGGGGGTGGGGGTGGGTGGGTGGGTTGGGGGGTATTTGGGGTGGTGGTGTGGGGTGGTTTGATGGTGGGATGGTTGGGTTGTGGGGGTGTGGGGTGTTGTTTGGTTTTTGATGGGGGGGGGGGGTGGGGGGGGGGTGGGGGGGGGGGGGGGGGGTAGGGGGTTTTGGGGGGGGTGTGGTGGGGGTGGGGGGTGGGGTGGGGGGGGGTGGTGGGGGTGGGGGGGGGGGTATGGGGGTTGGGGGGGGTTGGTTGATGGGGGTGGTTGGGGGTTTGGTTTTTTGGTGGTGGGTTTGTGGGGGAGGGGGGGGGGGGGTGGGGTGTGGGAGGGGGGGGGGGGGGGTTGGTGTGGGGGGGAGGTGGTCGGGGGGGGGGGGGGTGGTTGTGGTTGTGGGTGTGGGGGGGGGGGGGGGGTTTGGGGTTGGGGGGGGGGTTGGGATGGGGTTGGGGGGGGGGGGGGGGGGGTGGGTTGGGGGGGGTGGGTGGTTGGGGGGGGGTTGTGTGGGTGGGTGGGGGTGGGGGGGGGGGGGGGGGGTGTGTTGGGGGGGGGGGGGGGTGTGGGTTGGTGTGGTGGGGTTGGGGGGTTTGGTTGTGATTGTTTTGGGTGGGGGGTGGTGTGTTTTTGTGGGTGGGGTTGTGGTGTGGGGGGGGGGGGGATGTGGGTTTGTTTTGATGGGGTGGAGGTGGGTGGTTGAGGGGTGTGGGTTGTGGAGGGGGGTTGGGGGTGGTGGGGGATTGGTTGTTTGTTGTGGTTGGGGGGAGGTGGGTGGGGGGTGGGGGTGGGGATTGTTGATGGGGGGGGGGGGGTGGGGGGGGGTTGATTTTTTGGGGGTTGTGGGGGGAGTGGGGGTGGGGGGGTTTGTTGGGTGGGGTGGTGTTGGGGTGGTTGGAGGATGGGGGGTGTTGGGGGTTGTGTGGGGGGGGGGTAGTTGTTGGGGGGGGGTTTGGTGGGTGGGTGTGGGGGAATAGTTTTGATGTGTGGGGTGTGGGGGGGGTATGTGGTGATGGTTTGGTATGTTGGATTTATGTTTTTGGGAGGGTTGGTTTGGTGTTGGGTGGTGGGGGGATTGTGGGTTTGTGTGGGGGGGTATAGGTTTTGGGGTGGGAGGATGTATTGGGGGGGTTGGGTTTGTGGTGGTGGGGTGTTTTGGGGTTAGTGGTTGTTTGGGGTGGGGGGGGGGGTTGTGGGGTTGGTAAAGGTGGGGGGGTGGGGGGGGGGTTAAGGGGGGTTTGGTGGTATGGGGGGGGGGTTGGGGGGTTTGGTGATGAGGGTAGGGGGGGGGGGGTTGGGGGGGGTTTGGTTTGGGTTGGGGTGTATTGTTGTGGGGTGGTGGGGGGGGGTGGTTGTGTTGGGGGTTAGTGGGGTGGTGGTGGGGGATGGGTTTGGAGTGTTTGTGGTGTTTTGGGGGTGTTGTAGGGTTGTTTTGTGGTTGTTTGTGTGTATAGGGATGTTGGATGGGGATGTGTTTGGGGATGTTATGTGATTGTTTTGGGTGTGTTTTGGGGGTTTGGTGTTTGGGGGGTTATTGGTTTTTTGGGTTGGGTGGGTTGGGGATTTGTTGGGTGATTTTAGGTGATTGGATGGGGTGGGGGTGGGGTATAGTTGGGGGGGATTTGTGTGGAGGTGGTTGATTGGGTGGTGGTGGTGTGAGTTAGGTTGTGTGGTGTGGGTTTTGGTTGGGGATTGTGTTGGGGTTGGGTTGGGGATTTTGGTTGGTTGGGTTTGGGGGGGGGGGGGGGGTGGGGGGGTTGGGGTGGTGATTGGGGGGGGGGGGGGGTGGTTGTGGGATTGGTTATGATTATTAGGGTGTTGGGGAGGGGGGGGGGGTTGGGTTGTGAGGGGGGGTTTTTGAGTTTGTGGGTGTATTGGGTGGGGGGGGGGGTGTGTGGTTGAGGGGGTGTGGGGGGAGTGGGGTGTTATAGGTGGTGGGGGATATGTGTGTTTGGTTATTTGTGTGTGGGGGATTGGTTGATGGGGGGGGGTTGTATTGAGTGGTATTGGGGGTGTGGGGGGGTTGGTAATTAGTGGGGTGTTTGGTGTGGTGGGTTGGGGGGGGTGGAGTTTTTGTTTTGGAGGGGTGGGGGGGGGGGGTGTAGGGTTTTGTTGGGGAGGTTGTGGTGGTGTATAGTGGGTTTTGAAGGTTGGGGGTTTGGGGTGTTGTTGGGGGGGGGTGGGGGGGGGGGGGGGGGTATTGTGGGGTTGGGTGTGGTGGTAGGGGGGTTGGGTGGGTGTGGGGGGTTGGGGGGTTTGGGGTGAGTTTTTGGGAATTTGGGGGGGTTTTTTGGGGGGGGGGGGGTTGGTTGTTGGGGGGGGGGTGGGGGGTTGGGTGTGGGTTGTGGGTGGGTGTTGATAGAGGTTGGGGTTATTGGGGTTTAGTGGGGGGGGGATGATTGTGGGGGGGGGTGGTAGGTTTGGAGGGGAAGGTGTTTTGTGTTTTTGTTTGTGTAGGGAGGGGGGGGATGTGGGGGTGTTGGTGAAGTGGAAGTTGGGGGTGGGGATTTTTGTAATTGGTAGGTGAGGTTGATTGGTTGGGGGGGGGTTGATGTTGGGTATTTGATTTGTGTTGTTTTATGGGTTGGGGGGGGGGTGGGGGGGGGGGGGGTGTGGTTGTGGGTTTGGGTGGTGTAGTGGTTGTTGGGATTTTTTGTGATTGATTGTTTAGTGGGGTGGTGATGGGGGTTGGTGGGGGGTTGTGGGGGTGTTTGTTGTGGGGGGGGTGTATTGGGGGGGTGGGGGTGGGTTGGGTGTTGGGGGGGGATGGGGGGTTGGGGTGGGTTGGGGTTGGTTGTAGGGTGGGTTTGTGTTTTAGGTGGGGGGGGGGGTTGGTGGGGGTGGGTAGTGGGGGGGTTGTTTGGTGGGTTTATGGTGGTTGTGGGTGTTGGGGAGGTTGGGGTGTGTGGGGTGGGGGGATGGGGTGGGGGGGGGGTTGTGATTATAGGGGGGGAGTGGGGGGGGGGGGGGTGTGGGTTGTTGGGGGGGGGGGGGGGGGTTGGTGTTGGTGGTTGGGGGATGGGAGGTGGGTGGTTGGTGGTGGGGGGTTTGTGTGGGTGGGGTGGGTGGGGGGGGGGTGTGGGGGTGGTTTGGGTGTATGGGTGGTTGGGTTGGTGGGGATTGTGGTGGTTTGAGAGTGTGGGATTTTATGGGATGTTGTGGTGGGGGGGTGTGTGGGGGGTAGTTGAGGTGGTGGGTTTGGTTTAAGTTGGGTTGTGGTGTGTTGGTAGTTTGTTAGGGATGGTTATGGTGTTGGTTGGGTTGGGGGGGTGGTTCGAGGTGGGTGGGTGTGAGGGGTGGGTATGGTGGATTGGGGTTTGAGTGGGTTGTTTTGGGGTTTTGGGGTGGGTTGGTGGGGGGGTGGTTTGGGTGTTGGGGTGGGGTGGTGGGTGGGTATGGGTGTTTTTTTGGTTGGTGGTGGGTTTTGTTTTGGTGTGGTGGGTATGTGGGGTGTGGTGTTTTGGGGGGGGGGTGGGGTTTGGTTGTTTGGGGTGTGTTGGTTGGGGGGGGGGGTGTTGGGGGGTGTGGTTTTGGGGTGGGTTTTGGTGGGGGTGTTGTGGGGGGGGTGTGGGGGGGGTGGGTGGGTTGGGTGGGATGTTTGGTGGTTGTGTTTGGGTGGGGGGGGGGGGGGGGGGTGGGGGGGGTTGGGTTGGGGGGGGGGGGTGGTCTGGGGGGGTGTTGGGGGGGGTGGGGGGTTGGGGGGTGTGTGGGGGGTGGGGGGGGGGGGGGGGGGGTGGGTTGGGGTGGGGTTGGTGTTGGGGGGGGGGTTTGGGGGTTGGTTGGGTGGGTGTTGGTGGGGGGGGGGTGGGGGGTGGGGGGGGAAGGGTGGGGGGGTGGGGTGGGGTGGTGGGGGTTGGGGGGTTTTTGTGGTGTTGGGTGGGTGTGTTTGTGGGGGGGGTTTTGTTGGGGGTGGGGTGGGGGGGGGGGGGGGGGTGGGTTGGGTTGGTGGTGGGTTTGGGAGGGGGGGGGGGGGTGTGGGGGGTGTGGGGGGGTGGGGGGTGTGGGGGTTGGGGTGGTGGGGGGGGGGTGTGTGGGGGGGTGGTGGGGTGGGGGTGGGGGTGGTGGGGGGGGTGGGTTGTGGGTGGGGGGTGGGGGGGTGGGGGTGGGGGTGTTTTGGTGGTGTTGTGGTGTGGTGGGGGTGGGTTGGGGAGGGGGGGTGTGGGTTTGTGTTTTGGGGTTGGTGGGGGGGGGGTGGGGGGGGGGGTGGGGTGTGGGGGGGGGTGGGGGGTGGTGGGTGGGGTTTTGGGGGTTTTGGGGGGGGGGGGTGGAGGGGGGGGTGGGTGTGGGGTGGGTTGGTTGTGTTTGGTGTGGTGGGGTGTGGGGGTTGTGGGTTGGTGGGGGGGTTTGGTGTTGTTGGTGGGGTTTGGGGGGGTTGGGGGGGGGGTGGGGTGGGGTGGTGGGGTGTGGTGGGGGGGGTGGGGGGTGGGGGGGGGTGGGGTGGGGGGGGGGGGGGTGTGGGGGGGGGTGGGGGGGGGGGGTGGGGTGGGGGGTGGGGGGGGGGGGGGGGGGGGTGGGGGGGTGGGGGGGGGGGGTGTGGTTTGGTGGTGGGGTGTGGTTGGGGGGGGGGGTGGTGGGGTTTGTGGGTGGTGGGGGTGGGGTGGGGGTGGTGGGTGGTTGTGGGGGTGTGGGGGGGTGGGGGGGGTGTGGTGTGGTGGGGTGTGTGGGGGGGGGGGGGGGGGTGGGTGGGTGGGGGGGGGGGTTGGGGGGGGGGGGGGGGGTGGGGGGGTGTGTGGTGGGGGGGGGGGGGGTGTGGGGGGTGGGTGTGGGGTTGGTGGGGGGGGGGGGGGGGTGGGGGGGGGGGGGTGGGGTTGGGGGGGTGGGGTGGTGGGGGGGGTGTGGTGGGGGGGGGGGGGGGGGGGGTGTTTGGGGGGGGGGGGGGGGTTTGGGGGGGGGGGGGGGGGGGGGGTTTGGTGTGGGGGGGGGGGAGTGTGTGGTGGTGTGGGTGTGGGGGGTGGGGGGGGTGTGGTGGTGTTTGGTGGGTGTGGGGGGGGGGGGGGGGGTGTGGGGGGGGTGGGGGGGGGGGGGGGGTGGGGGGGTGGGGGGGGGGGGTGTGGGGGTGGGGGTTGTGTGGGGGGTGGGGGTTTGTTGGGGGGGGTGGTGTGTGTGGTGTGGTGTTGGGTGGGGTGGTGGGGTGGTGTTGGTTTGTTGGGGGGTGGGGGGGGGGGGTTTGTTGGTGGGGTGGGGGGGTTGGGGGGTTATGATTTGTTGGGTGTGGGTGAGTGGGTGGTGGTGGGTTGGTTTAAGGGAGTTTTGGTTATATTTAATAGGATGGTTGTGGGTTGGGGTTGGGTGTTGTTGGTGGATTGGGTGTGGGGGTGATGGGGGGGGGGGGGGTGTGGTATTGTTTTTGGTGGGTTGTGTTAGATGGTGGGTTGGGTGGGGGTGGGTTTGGGGGGTGGTTAGGTGGTGTGTTGGTTTGGTTTGGGTGTGGGGTGGGTGGTTTTGTGGGTGGGGTTAGGTGGTTGGTTGGGTTGTGGTTGTGATTATGGAGATGGTGGGGGGTTTTTGGGATAGTGGGGTGAGTTGGGTATTTTGGGGGGGGGGGGGGGTGGGGGGGGTTGGGGAGTGTGTGTGGGAGTTGGGGGGAGTGGGGGTGGTGGGGGGGGGGGTGGGGGTGGGGGTTGGGGGGTGGGTTGGGTGTGGTGGGGGGGGGGGTGGGGGGGGGGGGGGGGGGGGGGGGGGGGGGGGGGGGGGGGGGGGGGGGGGGGGGGGGTGGTGGGGGGGGTGTGTTGTGGGGGTTGATGGTAGGTGGGTGTGTGGTGTGGGGGGGTTTGTTTTTTTGTTGTTTGGGGGGGGGGTGGGTTGGTGGGGTTTTTTGTGGTGGTTGTTTGTGGTTTGGTGTTGGTGGTTGGGGGTGGGGGGTTGGTTGGGGTTTTTTGTGTGGTGGGTGGTGGATGTTTTGGTGTGGGTGGGGGGGGGGGGGTGGTTTGGGGGGGGGGGGGGGGGGTGTGGGGGGGGGGGGGGGGGGGGTGTCGGTATGGGGTGGGGGTGTTGGTGGGTTGGGGTGTTGTGGTTTGGGTTGTTGGTGGGGTTGGGTGGTGGGTGGGGGGGGTGGTTGTTTGGGTTGGTGTTGTGGTTGGGATTTTGGTTGGGGTTGTGGGGGGGGTGTGTGGGTGTATGTGGTTGGGGGTGGGTGTTTTGGAGTGTGGGTGTGTGGGGTGGGTGGGGGGTGGGGTTTTTGGAGGGGTTATGTGTGTGGGGTTTTTTGGGTTGTGGGGGGTGGGTGGTGTGGTGATGTTGGGTGTGGTGGGTTTGAGGGGTGGTGGGTTGGGTTTGTTTTGTTGTGGGTGGGGGGGTGTGGTGGGTGGGGGGGTGGGTGTTTGATTTTGGGTTGTTGGTGTGTTGTTTGGGAGTGTGTGGGTGTGTGGGGGGGGGGGGGGGGGGGGGGTTGGGGGTGGGGTTTTGGTAGTGTGGGGGGGTGGTGGGGGGGGTGAGGGTGGTTTTAGTGGTGGATGTTGGGTGGGGGGGGTGGGGGGGGTGGTGGGGTGGGTTGGGTGGGGTTGAATGGGGTTGGTTAGGGTGTTGGGGAGGAATATGTGGTTGGGTGGGGTAATGGGTGTGGGGGAGGGGAAAGTGGAGGAGGGGTGTTTTGATTGGGTTGGGGGGGGGGATGAGGGGGGGATAGTTGGTTTGGGGTGAGTGTGTGTAATTGGTTATGGTAGGGGGGTAGGGGGGTTGTAATGGGAGGGGTTGATTGGGTGGTGGTTTATATGGGGGGGGGGGGAGGGATGTAGGGTAGGGGGGGTATTTTAATGGGGGGTATTTTGGAGGGGTGGGGGGGGGGTAGGGGGGGGGGTGGGGGGGTGGGGGGGATGGTGGGGGGTGGGTTATGGGGTAGGGGGGTTGTGTATGTGGTGTTAGGGGTTGTGTGTTTGGTGGTGGTGGTGGTGTTGGGGGAATGTGGGGGTGGGGTGTTGATTGGGGAGGGGGGGGGTGGGGGGGGTTGTTGTGGTGGGAGGAGAGGGGTGATGGGGGTTATGTTGTTTGTTGGGGGGGTTTTAGGGGTTATTAAGGTGGGTTTAGGGGTAGGGGTAGTGGGGTGTATGATGGAGGTGGGAGTTTTGGATAGGGGTTGTGGGGGTTGGGGGGGGGGATTGGGGTTTATGGGGTGGGAGTGTTGGGTGTTTAGGTTTGGGGGGGGGGGGGGGGATTTTTGAGGGGTTTGAGGGGGTTTGTGGTTGATGGTGGAGTGATGGATAGGGGAGGGAAGGTGGTGGGGGGGGGGAGGTTTGGGGTGGTTTTTTGGGGGTTGGGTTTGTAGGGGGAAGTTGAGGGTTGGGTTATTGTTGGTGGTGTGTGGGGGGGGGTGTGTGATTGTAGGAGGATAGGGGTGGGGGGGGGTTGGTGTGGGGGTGGGTTGTTGGGGGGGTGGGTGTTTAATTTTGGGTGGGGGGGGGATGATTTGATTGGTGGTTTGTGAGGGGTTGTAATGGAGATGGGGGGTTGGAGGGTGGTTGAAATGGTGTTGGGGGTTGTGTGTGTGTGGGTGGGGGGGGTTTTGGGGGTAGTGGTTTTGGTGGGGATATTGGGTGAGGGGGTGTGGAGGGGTTGTTGGGGTGGGTATGGGGGGGGGGTGGGTTGTGAGTGTGGGTAGGGTTGGGGGGTGGTTAGATGGAGGGGTGTGGGGGGGGGGTTGGTGGGTTAGTGGTTGGTGTGGTTGGGTGTTTTTGGTGGGGGGGTAGGGTGGGGGGGGGGGGGGTTGGTGGTTTTGGGTGGGATGGTTGGGGGGGGTGATGGGGTGTAGGGGTTGGTTTTTTGGTTGGGGGGGGGGGAGGGGGTGAGGGGGGTTGGTGGGGAGGTGAGGGGTGGGATAGTTGTGGGTTGGGGTGGTGATTTGGTAGGGGAGTGAGGTGGGTTTGATAGTTGTGATGGGGTTTTTGAGGTAATGGTATTATAAAGGGATATGGTTTAGATGGTGTGGTTGTGGGAGGGTGTGGGGGAATGAGGGTAGAGAGGGGGATTGAGGTAAATGAGTGGTGTTGTTTTGGGGGATTAGGGTAGGGGGGAGGTGGTGAGGATGTGGGGGTGATGTTGTGGTTGATGAATTTTAGGTGAGGATAATGGGTTGTTTTAAATGGGGTATTGGGGGGGGTTGTGGGGGAGGGGTATTTGGGGGGATATTGGGGAGATAGGAGGGGAGGATGGGGGGGGTTGTGTTTTGTTTATGATGGTTTATAATGTTGGTTAGTTGTTGGGGAGGGGGGGGTGTTTGAGTATGGGGGGGGTTGGGGGAGTAGGGGTATGGGGTTAGAGGGTGGGTGAGGGTAGGGTGGGGTTGGTTGGGTATATTGTTAAGTGGTGTTAGAGGGTGTTGTTTTGGATATTGTGTTGGGTAGATATAGGAAGGGAGGTGGGTATGTATGTAATGTGGTAGGGTGGGGTTTAAAAAGTAATAATGTATATTAGATATGATGGAGGAGTTGTGGGTGTAGGTGGGATGGGGGAAAGTGGAGGTAATGGGAGGGGGAGGGGAGTTAATATGGGTAGAGATATATATGGGTTTGTGTTGATTTGATGGGGGTAGGGGGGGGTATGGGGGTGGGGGGGTTTATAATATGTGAGGGTAGATTTTATGGTTAGGGGGTATTGGGGGGGGGGGATGGGGGTGGTGGGTGGTAGATATATTTTGTTTGGTGGGGGGTGTGGTGTGTGTGGAGGTTGTGGGGGGGGATGGTTTGGTTGGTTGGGGTGGTGGGGGGGGGGGGGGTTGTGGGATGGGGGTTGGTTAGGGTAGTTGGATTGAGGGTATGTGGAGGTTGAGATGAAGGGGGGGTGGTTGGTGGGTGTGGTTGGGGTTATTGTATTGTTTTTAGATATGTTATTTTTTTGTTGGTATTGATGGGTATGGAAATAGGGTTGGGGGTGTTGTGGGAGTTAGAGGGGTAGGGATAGGTGGGGGTTATGGGGGTTGGGGGGGGGGTTTTTGGGTTGTTGGGGTTAGGGGGGGAGTTTGGGGGTGGGGGTGGTGGTAGATGGGGTGTGTTGGGTGGGGGGTTGGGGGGGGGGGGGGGGGAGGGGTGGAGAGGGGGGGGGTAGTTAGGGGGGGGGTTGGGGGTGTGGTGGGTTTTGTTGGGGGGGATGGGGGGAGAGGGAGGTGGGTATTGTTGGATAGCTGGAGTTGGAGGTTGGGGGGGTGTGTGGAGGGGTGTGGTGGGGGTGTGTATTTAGTTGGGGTGTTGGGTTGGTGGGGAAGGGTAGTGGGTGGGGGGAGGTTTTGGGGGGGTGATTGTGGTTTTAGGAGGGGGGTGTGGTTAGGGGTGTGGTTGAGGGGATGGGGTGAGTGGTGGGAGGGGGGTGTGGTGGGGTGGTTGAGGGGATGAAATTTGTTGGGGGTATTGTTTGTGGGGGGGGGTGGGTTTTAGGGTGGGGGTTGTGGGGGTGTTTGTTGGTTGGTGGTGGTTGGGGTGGTAGGGGGGGGGTGGGGGGGGGGGGGGGGGGGGTGGGGGGTTTGGTTTGTGTGTGGGGGGGGGGTATTGGGGGGGGGGGGATATTGGGGTGTGGGTGGGGGGGGGGTGTTGGTGGGGGGGGTTTTTGGGGGTATTGGGGGGTTGTGGTGGGGTTTGGATGTGGGGGTGGGGGGGGTGGGGGGGGGTTTGTTAGGGTGGGTTGTTGTTTAGGGGGGTTGGGGGGGGGGTGTGTTTTGGTGTGTTATGGGAGGGGGGGGTGTTGATGGATGGTTGAGGGGTGGGTTTTGGGTTGGTTGGTGGTTGGTGTGGTGATGGGTTTGGGTGTGGGTGGTAGAGGGGGTTGGGGGGGGGGGGGGGGGTTGTGTGGGGGGGGGGGTTGGTGGGGGGTGGGGGGGGGGGGTGTGGGGTGGGGGGGGGGTGGGGGGGGGGGGGGGGGGGGGGGTGGGATGGGGGGGGGGGGTGGGGGGGGGGTGGGGGGGGGGGGGGGTGGGTGGGTGGGGTGGGGGTGGGTGGGGGGTGGGTGGGGGGGGGGGGGGGGGGGGTGTGTGTTGGGGGGGGGTGTTGGGGGGGTTGGGGGGTGGTTTGGGGGTTGGGTGGGTGTGGGGTGTGTTGAGGGGGGTGGGGGGGGGGGGTGGTGGTGGGGGGGGAGGTGTGGGGTGGGGGGGGGGGGGGGTTGTTGGGGGGGGGGTTTTGTGGGTTTGGGGGGGGTGGGGTGGGGGTGGGTGGGTGGTGGTAGGGTGTGGTGGGGGTGGGGGGGGGTGGGGTGTGTGGTGGGGGTGGTTATTTGGTGGGTGGGGGGGGTTTTTGTGGGTTGGTTAGGGTGTGTTTGTGTGTGGGTGGGTAGTGTGGGGGGGGGGGGTTGGGGGTATTGGTGGTTTGGTGTGGTTTTAGGGGGTTGGGGTTTAGGGGGGGGGGGGTTGGGGGTGGGGTGTTTTTGGGGATGGGGATTGTGTGTTATTGGTGGTGTGGGTGGTTTTGTGGGTTGTGGGTGGGGGGGTTATTTGATTGTAGTGGGGTTTGTTGGGGTTGGGGTATTGTTTGATGTGTGGTTGGGGGTGTGTTAGGTTGGTAGTGGGGATGTATAGGGGAGGATGTGGGGTTTGGGGGATGGGGGTATTTGGAGAGGATGGTGTGTGGGGATTTGTTTGTATTGGTTGGTGGAGATGTGTTGAGGGGGGGTATTTGGTGATGTGTTGGGGGTTGGGGGTGGGTTATGGTTGGGGTGCGGTGTGATGATTTGGGGGGGGTGGGGTGGTGGGTGGTGTGGGATGTTAATTAGGGGGGTTGGTTATTTTGGGTGGGTTGGTGGGGGTGGGGGGGGGGGTTGTTTTTGTGGTGGATTTGTGGGTAGGGTAGGTTTGGGTAAATTAAGGAGGGATGAGAGTGTTAGGAGGGTTTAGTAAGAAGATATATAGATGAGAGTATTTTTAGTTGGATATGGATGTTTTATATGTAGGTTTATGAGGGTTGGGTTTGTTTAGATTTAGAGATTTTTTTTATTAAGGTGTGGTGGTTTTGGGTGTGTGAGGGGGGGGGAATGGGTATGGGAGGGTGATATATTTTGGGGGGGGTTGGGGGGGGTGGTTTGGTATGGGGTTGGGGGGGGGGGTGAGGTGTGGGGGGGTGGGGTGGGTGGGGGTAAGGGGTGGGGTGGTGGTGGTTGGGGATTGGGGGGGGGGGGGGGTATTTGGGGGGGGGGTGGTGTGGTGGGGGGTTGTTGGGGGGTGGGGTTTTGGTGGTGTGTTGGTATGAGGGGGGGGGTGTGTAATGGTGGGGGTGATTAGAGTTGTGTAGTGATTGTGTTGGGGGGGGGTGGGAGGTGGTTTGTTTGGGGTGGGGGATTAGGTGTGGGGGGGTATTATATGGTGTGTTTGGGGTGTTTGTGGTGTGGGTTTGGTGGGTATGGGGGGGGGGGGGGGGGGGGGTTGGGGTGAGTTGTGTGGGTGGGGTTGGTTTTGGGTGTGTGGTTTTAGTTTTTGATGTTAGGTGTTAGGTGTTATTGAGTGGGTATTGGGGTGGTGGGGGATTGGGAGTAGGGGGGGGTGGGTTGTGTGGAGGGGGTGGGGGAATTGGTAGGTGGTTGTGGGGGGTTAATTGATGGTGGGTGGGGGATTGTTTGGGTTTGGGGTGATTGGATGGATGTGTGGGGATTGGGTTTGGGGGGGGGGGGGGGGGGTGGGGGGGGGGGGTGGTGGTGTGGGGGGGTAGGGGGGTGGTGGGGGGGTTGGGGGTGTGGGGTTGGTTGGTGTTGGGGGGGGGGGGTTGGGGGTAGGGGGGGTTGTATTGTGGTGTGTGAAGTGGGTGTAGGTGTTTTGTGTTGGTGGTTGTTTGGGTTGGGGTTGGGTGGGGTGGTGGGGTTGGGGGTTTGGGGTGTGGGGTATGGGGGGGGATTGGGGGGGGGGGGGGGGGGGGGTGTAATAGTGTTGGTGGTTGGGGGGGTTGGGGGGTTTGGGGTTGGGGTGGGTGGGGGTTGGGGGTGTGGTGTGGGGGGGGGGGGGGGGGGGGGGGGGGGGTGGGGGGTGTGGGGGGGTTGGGGGGGTTGGGGGTGGGGTTGTGGGGGGGTTGGGTGGGGGGGGGGGGGGGGTGGGGGGGGGGGTGTGGGGGGGGGGGTTGTGGTGTGGTTGGGGTTGGGGGGGGGGGTGGGTGTGTGTGTTGTTTGGGGTGTTTGGTTTGTGTTGGGGGGGTGTGTGGGGGTGGGGGTTGTTGGGGGTGTGTGTGGGGGGTGGTTGTGGGGGGTGGGTGGGGGTTTGTGGGGTGTGGGGGAGGGGAAGGGGTTGGGATGGGGTGAAAGAGTATGTGATGGGGGGTATGTGTTGAGGGTAGGGGGGGGTTGGTAGTAGATTAGGTGGGGGGGGGTGTGGGGGGGGGGTAGTATTGTTGGGGTTATGGGGTGGGTGGGTGATGTGGGGATTTATGGTGGTATTTGTTGGGAGGTTTTAGTGGTGGTAGTTGTTTGGTAGGGGGGGTTTGTTGCGGGGATAATGTTTTGTGGGTGGGTGGGTTTTGGATTGGGTGGGATGTGGTTGGGGTGGGAGGGGGGGGTGTTTGTGGTTTAGGTGTTTGGGATTTTATGGTTTTGGGGTTTGTTGTTTGTTGGGTAGGGTGGGGGATGGGTGTTATTGGGGGGGGGGGGGGGGGGGTTTTGTGGTGGGGGGTGGGGGGGGGTGTGGGTTGGGTGGGGGGGTGGGTGGTGGGGGGGGGGTGGTTTGTTGGGTGTTGGGGGGGGTGGTGTTGGTTGGGGTAATGGTGGGGGGTTTGGGTGGGTGTTGGGGGGTTTTTTGGTTGGGGGTGTGTGGGGGTTGTGAGTGTTGGGTGGGGGGGGGTGGGTTGGGGGGGGGAGGGGTTTGGGTTGTGGTGTGTGTGGGGGTGGGGTGTGGGTTGGGGGGGGGTGGGTGGGGGGTGGGGTGGGGGGTTTGGTGGTGGTGGGTGGTGGTGGGGGTGGGGGTGGGTGTGGGGGGGTGGGTTGGTAGGGGGTGGGTTTTTGGGGTTGTGGGGGTTTGGTTGGTTGAAGGGGGGGGATGGGGTGGTGGGTTGTTTTGGGTTGTTTTGGTGGGGGGGGGTGTGGTGAGTTGGGGGGTGGTAATGGGTGTGGGGGGTGGGGGGGTGGTATTTGTTAGGTTGGTTTTGTGGGGTTTGGTGGGTGGGTGGGTAAGTGGGGGTTAGGGGGGTGGATGTGGTTGTTGGTGGGTGGTGGTTGGGTGTTTGATGTTGTGGGGGTGGGGGTTGGTGGGGGTGGTGGGGTGTGGTGGGGGGTTTGTGGGTGGTTTGGGTTTGGGTGGGGTGGGGGTGGTTGTTGGGGGGGGGGGGGGGGGGGTGGATGGTGGTTGTTGGTTGTTTTGGTTGTTAGGGGTGGGGGGGGGGGGGGGGTGGAGGTTTGGGGGGGGGTGTGTATGTGTGTTTGGTATTATGGGGTTTGTGGGGGGGGGTGGTATGAGGGTTTGGGGGTGGTTGGTGTGGTGAGGGTGGTATTGTATGGGTTGGGTGGTTGTTTTTTGTGTGTGGGGGTGGTGTTGGGTGGTGTTGTGGTGTAGGGGGGAGGGTGGGGGGGGGTTTGTGAGAAGAACGGGGTGGTGGGGTGGGGAGGGGTTGGGGGTGTGGGTGGGGGGGGGGTGGGGTTGGGGGGGGGGTTGGTGGTTGGTGGGGTGGGTGTGTAGTGGTGTGGGTATGGTGTTGGTTGTGGAGGGTGGGGTGTGGGGGGGGGGGGTTGTGGGGGTTTGTGGGGGGGGGGGGGGGGGGGTGGGTGGGTGGTGTGGTAGGGGGGTGGGGGTTTTTGTGTGGGGGTTTTTGGGTGTATGGGGGGGGTTGGGGTTTGGGGGGGGGGGGGGGTGGGGGTGGGGGTTGGGTGTGTGTGTGGGTTGGGGTGGGGGGTTTGGGGGTTTGGGGGGGGGGGGTGGTGGGGGGGGGGTGTGGGTGTGGGTGTTGGGGGGGTGGTGTGTGGGGGGGGGTGTATGGGTGGGGGTTGGGGGGGGTGGTAGTGTTGAGCTGTGTTGGTGGGGGGGGGTTGTGTGGTAGAGGTTGGGTGGTTGTTGGGGGTGTGGTGGGTTTGTGTGGTTTTTGTGTTTGGGGGGGTGGGGGGGTTGGGGGGGGTTGGTGTGGTGTGGTTGGGGTTGGGTTGGGGGTGGTGGGGGGGGGGTGTGGTTGGGGGTGGGTGTGGTTTGTGGGGGGGGTGTGGGGGGGTGTGGGGGTGGTGTGGGGTGTTTGGTTGGGGGGGGGGTTGGGGGGGGGGGGTGGGGGGTGGGGGGTTGTTGGGGGGGGGGGGGGTGGGGTTGTTTGGGGGGTGGTTTAGGGTTGGGGTGTGTTTTGGATGGGGGGGGTGGTTGGGGGTGGGGGTGGGGGGTTTGTGTGGGTTGAGGTGTTGGTTTTGGGGTGGGTGGGTTGTTGGGTGGGGTTGGGGGGGGGGGGGGGGGATTTGTTGGGGGGGGAGGGGTGGGGGGGGTGTGTGGGGGGTTGGTGGGGGGGGGTGGGGGTAGGTGGTGGTGGGGGGGTTGGGGTGTTTGTATGTGTGTGGGGGGGGTAGGTGGGGGTTTGTGGGAGGGGGTGGGGGGGGGGGTGGGGGGGTGGTGGGGGGTTGGGGGGTTGGTATGGTGGGGGGTTGTTGTGGTGGGTGTGGGGTGTGTGGGGGAGGGGGGTGGTGGGGGGGGGTTGGGGGGTGGGGTGGGGGGGGGGTGGGGTTTGGTGGGTTGTTGTTGGTGTGGGGTTTGTGGGTTTGGGGTGGGGTGGGGTTGGGGTGGGGGGGGGGGTGGGTGGGGGGGTGGGGTGGGGTGGGGGGGGTGTGGGCTTGTGTGGGGGGTGGGGGGGTGTGGGGGGTGGGGGGGGTGGGGGTTTGGGTTGGTTGGGGGGGGGGGGGGGGGGGGTTTGGGGGGGGTGTGGTGTTGGGGGGGGGTGTGTTGTGGGGGGGGGTTGGGGGGGGGTGTTTTGGGGGGGGTGGTGGGGGGTGGGTTGGGGGTGGTTGGGGGGGGGGGGGGGGGGTGGGGGGGGGTGTGGGGTTGTGGGTGGGGTGTGGGTGTGTTTGGGGGGGGGGGGGGGGGTGGTGGGTGGTTTTGTGGTGGTGGTGTGTTTGGGTGTGGGGGGGGGTGGGGGTTGGGTTGGTGGGGGGTGGTGGGGGTGGGGGGGGTGGGGGGGGGGGGGTGTTTGGGGGGTGGGGGGGGGAGTGGGGGTTGGGTTGGGGGGTGGGGTGGGGTGTGGGGGGGGGTTTGGGGGGGGGGTTGGGGGGTGTTGTGGGGGGGGTGGGTTGGGGGTGTTGGGTGGGTGGGGGGGGGGGGGGGAGGGGTGGGTGGGTGTGGTGTGGGTGGGTGGGGTGGTGTGTGGGGGGGGGGGTTTGGGTTGGTGGGTGGGGGGGGGGGGGGGGGGGGGGGGTGGGTTGTTGGTGGTGGGGGTGTGGGGTGGGGGGGGGGGGGTGGTGGGGAGTGGGGGGTTGTGGGGTGGGGGGGGTGGGTGGGGGGGGTGGGGTGTGGGGGGTGGTGGGGGTGGGGGTGGGGTGGTGGGGGGGGGTGGGGGAGGTGGGGGGGTGGGGTGGGGGTGGGGGTGTGTGTGGGTGTGGTTGTGGTGGTTTTGGGTGGGTGGGGGTGTGGGGGGGTTTTGTTGGGGGGGGTTGGGGTGGGTGGGGGGGGGTGGGGGGGGTTGTGGGGTGTGGGTGGGGTTTTGGTGGGTTTGGGGGGGGGGGGTGTGTTGGGGGGGGGGGGTGGGGGGGGGGGTGGGTGTGGGGTGTTGGGTTGGGGTGGTTTGTGGTTTTGGTGTGGGGTTGGGGTTGGTGGGGGGGGGTGGGGTGGTGTGTGTGGGTTTGGGGGGGTGGGGGGGGGTGGGTGGGTTGGGTGTGTGGGGGGTGGGGGGGTGGGGGGGGTGGGGGGGGTGGGGGGGGGGGGGGGTGTGGTGGGGGGGGGGTGGGGGGGGGGGGGTGGGGGGGGGGGGGGGGGGGGGTGGGGTGGGGGGGGGGGGGGGGTGTGGTGTTGGTGTGGGGCTGTGTGGGGGGTGGTGGGGGTTTGTGTGGGGTGGGGGGTGGGGGGTGGTTGGGGTGGTTGTGGGGGGTGTGGGGGGTGGGGGGGTGTGGTGTGGGGGGGTGGGTTTGGGGGGGGGGGGTTGGGTGGGTGGGGGGGGGGTTGGGGGGGGGGGGGGGGGTGGGTGGTGTGGGTGGGGGGGGGGGGGGGGGGTGGGGTGGGTGTGGGTGGGGGTGGGGGGGGGGGGGGGGGGGGGGGGGTGGGGGGGGGGGGGGGGGGTGGGGGTGGTGGGGGGTGGTGGTGGGGGGGGTGGTGGGGGGGGGGGGGGGGGGGTGGGTTTGGGTGGGGTGGGGGTGGGGGGGGGGGGGGTTTGGTGTGGGTGTGTGTTGGGGGTGGTGGGTGGGTGTGGGGGGGTGTGTGTGTGTGGTGGGGGGGTGGTGGGGGGGGGGGGGGGGTTGTGGGGGGGGGGGGGGGGGGGGATGGGGGGGTGGTGGGGGGGGGGGGGTAGTGGGGGGGGGGGGGGTGTGGTGGGGGGGTTGGGGGGTTTGGGTGTGTGGTGTGGTGTGGTGGTGGGGGGGGGGGGGGGGTGGGGGGGTTTGGTTGATGTGGGGGGGGGGGTTGGGTGGGGGGGGGGTGGGGGGGGGATGGGTGGTTTAAGTTGTTGGGGGGTGTGGGGGGGGTGTTGTTGGGGTGGTTGGTTTGTTTTGTGTTGTGGTGTTTATTGTTTGTGGGGGGATGGGGGGGTTGGGGTGGGGTGAAGGGGCGATGGTGTAGTGGGGGGTTTTGGTTTTGGTGAGGGGGGGGGTTTGGTGGGGTGGGTGGTGTGTTGGTGGGTGTTTGGTGGGGTTTGGGTGGGGGGGTTTTGTTGTGGTTGGTTTTTGTGTTGGGGTGGGTTGGTGTGGGGGGTGGGGGGGGGTTGGGTGGTGGGTGGGGTTTGGGTGGTGTGTTGGTGGTTGTTGTATGGGGGTGGGGTGTGTTGGTGATGTTGGGTGTTATGGGGGGGGGGGGGGTTTGGGGGTGTTTGGGGGAGTAGTTTTGTTTTGTTGGGTGTGGGGGGTTTGGGGGTGTGGGGGGGGGGGGGTGGGGTGGGGGTGTGGGGTGGGGTTGTGGGGTGTTGGGGGGGTGGGGTGGGGGGGGGGGGGGGGGGGGGTGGGGTGGGGGGGGTGGTGGGGGGGGGTTTGGTGGGGGGGGGTGTGGGGTTGTGGTAGGGTGGGGTAGTTTGGTGGGGGGGGTTTGGTTTTGGTGTGGGGGGGGGTGTTGGTGTGGGTGGTGGGTGGTGGTGGGGGTGGGGGGGGGGGTGGGGGGGTGGGGGGGGGGGGGTGGGTTGTGGAGTGTTGGGGGTGGTTGTTGATATTTAGATAGGGTGGGTTTGGGGGGGGGTGGGTGTGTGGGGTTGGGGGTGGGTGTGGGGGGGGGGGGGGGGGGGGGGGTTGGTTGGTGGGGGGGGGGGGGGGGGGGGGGGGGGGGGGGGGGGGGGGGGGGGGGGGGGGGGGGGGGGGGGGGGGGGGGGGGGGGGGGGGGGGGGGGGGGGGGGGGGGGTTGGTGGGTTGGGTGGTGGTGGTTTTGGGGGTTGGTGGTTGGTTGTGGAGGGGTGGGGTGGGGGTTGGTGATGTGTTTTAGGGTTTTATTTAGGGTTGTAGTTATTGGGATGGTGGTTTATGTTGGGGAGGCTGGGTGGTGGGTGGGTGTGGTTGGGGTTGGGGGTGTTGTGGTGGGGGGTTGGGGGGGGGGGTGGTGTGGGGGTTTGTGTTGGGGTATTGTTGGGGGGGGGGGGGGGGGGTGGGTGGGGGGGGTGGGGTGGGTGGTGGTGGAGTGGGTGGAGTTGGGTTTGTTTGGGGGGGGGTTGGGTGGTTTTTGGGTGTGTGGGGGGGTGGTGGTGGGGGGGGGGTGGGGGTGGGGTGGGTTGGGTGTTGGGGTTGTGTTTTTTGGTGGTAGGGGGTTGGGGGTTTTGTGTGTGTTGGGGGGGGGGGGGGGGGGGGGGGGGGGTAGGGGGGGGGGTGGGGGTTTAGGTTTGGGGGTGGGGTGGGGGTGTGGGTTTGGGGGTGTGTGGGTGGGGGGGGGGGGGGGGGGGGGTGGGAGGGGGGGGTGGGGGTGGGGGGTTGGGGGGGTGGTTGGGGGTGGGGGTGGTTGGTGGGGGGGGGGTTGGTGGGGTGGGGGGTTTGGGGTGGTGTGGGGGGGTGTGGGGGGGGGGTGGGGGGTGGTTGTTGGGGTTGGGGTGTGGGTTGGTTTTGGAGGTGGGGGGGGGGGGGGGTGTTGGGGTGGGGGGTGTGTGGGGTGGGTGTGTAGGGGGGGGGGGTGGGTGGGGGTGGGGGTGGTGGGGGTCTGTATTGTGGGTTGTGGTTGGGGGGTGGTGGGGGGGGGGGGGGGGGGTGGGGGGGGGTGAGTGGGGGGGGTTTTTGTGGTTGGGGGGGGGTGGGGGTTTGTGGGGGGGGTGTGGGTGGTGGGTTGGGGTTGGGGTGGGGTGGGGTTTGTGGGGGGTGGGGGGGGTGGGGGGGGGGTGGGGGGGGGGGGGGTGTGGGGGGTGGGTGGTGTGGGGTGTTGGGGGGGTTGGTTGGGGGGTTGGGGGGGTTGTGGGGGGATGTGGGGGTGGGGTGTGGGGGGGGGTGGGGGGGTGGGGTTTTGTGGTGAGGGGTGGGGGGTTGGGGTGGTGTGTTGGGTGGGGGGGGTTGGTGTTGGGGGGTGTGGTGGGGTGTGGTGGGGATGGGGGGGGGGGGGTTGTGGTGGTTGTGGGGGGGGGTTGGGTGGTTTTGGGTGGGGTGGGAGTTGTGGGTTGTGGGTGGGGGTTGTTTTGGGTTGGGGGGGGGGGGGGGTTTGGTTTGGGGGTTGGGTTGTGGGGGGGGGGGTGTTGGGGGGGGGGGGTGGTGGTGGTAGGAGGTGGGGGGGTGGGGGTGGGGGGAGGGGGAGGGGGGGGGTGTGGTGGTTTTTGGGGTGGGGGTTGTGTGGTTGGTTGGTGGGGGATGGGGGGGATTGGTGGTGGGGTTGGTTGGGGGGGGTTGGTTGGGTATGGGGGTTGGGGGGTGTGGGTGTGGGGGGGAATTTGGGGGGGGTGGGGTTGGGGGGGGGTTTAGTGGAGGAGGGGGGGAGGGTGGGGTTTGTGGGGGTAGGGGGGGTGGGTTTTGTGTGTGGGAGGGGGTTGGAGGTTTTTGTAGGTGGTGTTGGGGGGGGGGGGGGGGGTGTGGGGGGATTGTGGGGGGTTGGGGTTGGGTTTTTTGGTGGGGGTGGGTGGTGGGGGGGGGGGGGTGGGGGTATTGGTGGTTGTGTGGATGGGTGGGGGGTGGGTTTGTTTGGTTTGGGGGTGGGTGGGGGGGTGGGGTGAGGGGGTTTGGTGGGGTTGAGAGGTGGATATTTAGGAGGGGGGGGGTGGGGGTGGGTTATGGTTTGGGGGTTAGGGGTTGGGGGTTGGGTTATGTGTTGGATAGTTATGTGTGGTTGTGGGGATGGGGATGGTTGTAGTAGAGAGGGGGAGTGTTTTTGATGTGGTGTTTATTTGGGGGAGTGGGGTTTGGTTGGGGGGGGTGGTTGTGGTATGGGTTATTTGTGGGTTTGTTGTTGTGATGGGGTAGTTATTGGTGTGATGGGGGGGGGTTGGGGGGTGTGGGGGGTGGGGGGTTTGGGGGGGTGGGGGGGGTGATTTGGGTGGGGGGTGGATGGGGGTTGGGGGGTGGTTTGTGGGGGGGGGTTTTTTGTGGGGTGTGGAGGTGGGTGTGGTGTGTGGGGGGGGTTGGGTTGGGGGGGGTGTTTTATGTGTGGTGGGTGGGGGTTGGGTGGGGTGTGGGTGGGTTGAGGTGGGTTGTGGGGGGGGTGGTGGGGTAGTTTGTGGTTGGGTGGTTTGTGAGATATGTATTTGGTGTTATGAGTGTTGTGGGTGTTATTAGATGTGTGGTTGGAGGGGTGTGGTATGGGTGGGGTGGTGGTGGGTGGGGGTAGTTTTAGTTGGGTAGTGTTATTGGGGGGTGGGGTGGTGTTTGTTGGGGTGGGGGGGTGGGGGGGGGGGTGGGGGGGGGGTTTTTTTGTGGTGGTTGTTGTGTTATGGTTGGTAGGGGGGGGGGGGGGGGTTGGGGGGTGGTGGGGGGAGTGTTTGTTGGTGGGGGGGTGTATGGTGTTTGTTGGGAGGGTTGGGGGGGTTGGTGGGGTGTTGGGGGGGGGGATGGGGTGGGGGGGGTGTGGGTGTGGTGTTGTGGGGGGGGGTGGGTTGGTGGTGGGGTTTGGTTGGGTGGTGTGGGTGGTTGGGGGGGTATTGTGGGGGGTGGGTTTTTTGGTTGGGGGTTTTGGAGGGGTGGGTTTGGAGGGGTGGGGGGGGTTTGGGTGGGGGGTTGGGGGGGGGGGGGGTGTGGGGGGGGGGGTGGGGGGGGGGGTGGTGGGGGGTGGTTGGGGGGGGGGGGGAGTTGGGTGGGGGGTTGGTGGGGGGGTGGGGGGGGGGGGGGGGGGGGGGTGGGGGGGGGTGTGTGTTGGGTGGGGGGGGGGGTGGGGGGGGGGGTGGGGGGGGTGGGGGGGGGGGGGGGGGGTGGGGGGTGGTGGGGGTGGGGGGGGGGTGGGGTGGTTTGAGGTGGGGTGTTGGGGGGGGGGGGGTTGGGGTGGGTGGATTGGGTGGGGTAGGGTTGGGTGGGGGGGGGGGTGTGGGGGGTGTGGGGGGTTGGGTGTGGGGGGGGTGGGGTGGGTTATTGGGGTGTGTGTGGGTTTGGTGGGGGGGGGGGTGAGGTGTTGTGGTGTGGTGGGGGGGGTGTGGGGGGTTGGGGGGTGGTTGGTGGGGGGTGGGGTTTGGTTTTTTGTTGGGGGATATGGGTGTGGGGGTGGGGTTGATTTGTGGGGGGGGGGTTTGGGGGGGGGGTGTTGGTTGGGTGGTGGTTGGTGGGTGGGTGGGGGTGGGGTTGGGGGGTGGGGGGGGGGGGGGGGGGGGTGGTGGGGTGTGGGGGAGGGTGTGGGGTGGGTGGTGGGGGGGGGTTTTGGGTGTGGTGGGGTTTGTGGGGGTTTTTTGGGGGAAATGGGGGGTTTGTGGTGGGGGGGAGTGTGGTGGTGGGGGTGGGGGGGGGGGGGTTTTTGTGTGGGGGTTTGGTGTGATAGGGGTGAGGGGGGGGGGGTGGTTTATTTTGTAGGGTGGGGGGGTGTGTATGGTAATGTGTTGGAGGGTTGGGTATGGGGGTGGGAGGGTGTTGTGGTTTGGTGTGGGGTTTGGTGGTGTGGTTTGTGGGTTTTGGGGTATGTGTTGGGGGTTTTTTGGTTGGGGTTGTTTGGGGGGTTTTTGGTTGGGTTTGGATGTTGGGTGGGGGGGGGGGGGGTTGGGGGGGGTTGGGTGTGGGTGTGGAGGGGTTTTGTGGGTAGGGGGGTTGGGGGTTAGTGGGTTGTATTGGTTGTGATTGATTTTGATTTTGTGAATGTGGTTGGGGTGGGGATTTGAGTATTGGAATAAGGGGTTTTGTTAGTAGTAATTTGAATTTTGGGGTAGGTGGGTATTTTGGAAGTGTTTGGGGATATGGGGTGGTGGATTTGGAGTGGGTGGAGGGAAGTTTATTGGGGTTGTATTTTTGTGGGGGGGGATTTAGGTATGGGGTTTTGTTTGGTATGGGTTGTGGATGGGATTGTGGAGTGGTGGTGGTGTGTTTGGTGTGGGAGTGGGGGGGGTGGTAAATGGTGGTTTTGGGAATGTTTAGGATAGTTGGATATTGTGTTAGGGTATTGAGAGAGTTGTTTTTTTTGGGGGAAGGGTGATTGTTAATTTTATATGGGGAGGAAAGGGATAAGGGGTGGGGGGGTTGGTGGGGTGTTTTGATTGGTATGTGGTATAAAGGAGTTGGTGGGGGGAGGATATTGGGGTAGTGGTGGGGGGGGTATGGTGGATGGAGATGTTTGTTATTTGGGGGATGGGGAATTGTAAGGATGTTTGTGGGGGGTTGGTTGGAGGGTTGGGGGGGGAGAGTGGGGGAGGGGTGGTTGGGGGGGAATGGGATGGTGAGGTGGTAGTGTTGATTGTTTAAGGATAAGGGTGTGTGTTGTGTTTAGGGGGTTTTTGTGGAGTTTTTGGGGTATGGGGGTGGGGATTTGGTTTGTGGGGGTGAGGTGTGATTGAATGGGGGGGGTGGTGTGGGGTGGGGGTTTATGTGGGGGTTGGGGGTAAGTTGTGTGGGTGGGGGGGGGGGGGGTGGTTGTTGGTGAGGTTGGTAGGGGTGGTTTTGGGGGGATAGTTGGGTTGGGTAAAGGATGTTTGTGTTTAGTTTGATGTTTTGAGGTTAGAGGGTGGTTTGTTGAGTTGGGGGTTTGGGATGATTTGTTTGGTGGGTTTATGAGGGTTTGGGGTTTGTTGATGGAGTTGATTGGTTTTTTAGGTGGGGTGGTTTTGGTGTGTTGTGGAGGGGGGGGTAATGGGTATGGGGTGGTTGGGGGGGGGTGGGTTGGGGGGTTGGTGGGGGGGGTGGTGGTGGGGTTGGGGGGGGGGGTGGGGGGTTTTGGGGTGGGTGGTGGTGGTTTGGGGGGGGGGGGGGGATTTGGGGGTTGGTGTGGGGGGGGGGGGGGTGGGGGGGGGGGGGTGTTTGGGTTGTATTGTTGGAGAGGGGGGGGGGGTGAGGTAATTGGGGGAGGGGGGTGTTTAGTGTGGTGTAGTTTTGTTTGTGTTGGTGTGGTGATGTTATGGGGGGGGTGTAGTGTGGGTATATGGTGGGGGGTTGGGGGGGGGGTGGGATGTTGTGTTGGTGGTTTGGTGTGGGAGGGGGGTGGGGGGGGGGGTTGGGGGTGTTTGGTGGGGTGGGTGTGTGGTTATGGGTTGGGGGGTTGTTTTGGGTTGGGTTTTGTGGGAGGGGGGGGGGGGGGTGTTGGGGGATGGTGTGGGATGGGGGGGGGGGGGGGGGGTGGGTTTTGGGGGGGGGGGGGTGGGGGGGAGGGGTGGGGATGTGTTGGTGGTGGTTGGGGGGGGGTTTGTTGGGGGGGGAGGGGGGGGGTGGGGGTGGGGGTGGGGGGGTGTGGTTGTGGGTTTGGGGGTGGGGGGGGGGGGGGTGGGGGGGGGGTTGGTTGGGGGGGGGTGTTGTGGGGGGGGGGGGTGGGGTGGGGTTGGGGTGGGGGGTTGGGGGTGTTGGGGTGGTTGGGTGGGGTGTGTTGGGTGGGGTGGTGGGGTGTTTGTGGGGGGGTTAGTGGGGGGGGTTGGGTGGGGGTGGGTGGGGGGGGGGGGGGGGGGGGGGGGGGGGTGGGGGGGGGGTGGGGGGTGGGGGGGGGGGGGGGGGTGTTTGTGTTGGGGTTGGGGGGTTGTGGTTGGGGGAGGGGGGGGGGGTTGGGGGGGGGTGTGGTGGTGGGGGGGGGGGGGGGGGGGGTGGGGGTGGGGGGGGTTTGGGGTGGGTTGGGGGTGGGTTTTGGGGTGGTGGGGTGGGGGGGGGGGTGGGGGGGGGGGTGATGGTTTGGTGGGTGGTTGGGGGGGTGGGGTGGGTGGTGGTTGGGTTGGGGGGTTGGGTTGGTGGGGGGGGTGTGTGGGGGGGGGGGGTGGGGGTTGTGGGTTGGTGTGGGTGTGGTGGTTTGGGGGGGTGGGGTGGGGGGGGGGGGGGTGGGGGGTGGGGGTGGGGTGGGGAGGGGGGGTTGGTGGGGTTGGGGGTGGGTGGTGGGGGTGGGGGGGTAGTTGGTGTGGGGGGGGGTGGGGAGAAGGGGGGGTTTGGGTGGGTGTGGGGTGGGGGGGGGTGGGGGGTGGTGTGGGGTGGGTGGTGTGTGGTGATGTTGGGGGATTGGGGGGGTTAGGGGTGGGGGGGTGTTTGTGGGGGGGGGGGGGGGGGGGGGGTTGTGGTGGTGTTGTGGGGGGGGGTGGTGGGGGGGTGGGGGGGGTTTGTGGTGGTGGGGTGTTTGGGTGGGGTTGGGGTTGTTGGGGGGGGTGGGTGGGGGGGGGGTTGGGGGGGGTTGGGGGGGGGGGGGGGGGGGTTGGGTTGGGGGGGGTGGTGGGTTGGGGGGGGGGGGGGGGGGGGTGGTGGGGGGGGGGGGGGTGTGTGGTGGGGTGGGTGGGGGGGGGGGTGGGGTGGGGTTTGGGGGGGGGGTGGGGTGGGGGTTGGGGGTGTTGGTGTTTGGGGGGTTGGGGGGTTGGTGTGGAGGGTTGGGGGGTGGTTGGGGGGGTGTTGGGTTGGGGTTTGTTGGGTTGGGTGGTGGGGGGTGGGGGTGGGTTGGTTATGTGTGGGTGGTGGTGGGGGTGGTGGTTGGGTGGGTGGGGGGTGTTTTTGGGTTGGTGGGGGGGGGGTGGGGGGTGTTGGGTTGGGTTGGTTGGGGTGGGGTGTTGTTTTGGGTATTTTTGGGGGGTGGGGTGTGGTGTGGGGGGGGGTGTTTTGGGTTGGGGGGTGGTGGGTGGGTTTAGTTGTTGGTGGTTGGAGGTGTTTGTGGGGTGGGGGTGGGGGGTTGGTGGGGGGTTGGGGGTGGTTGTGGTTGTTGGTGTGGTGGGTGGATTTGGTGTTGGGGGGGTGGGGGGGGGGTGGGGTGGGGTTGGGGTGGGGTGTTGGGGGGGGTTGGGTGTGGGGGGGGGGTGGGGGGGGGTTGTGGGTGGGGGGGGGTGGGGGTGGGTTGTGGTTGAGTTTGGGGGGGGGGTGTTTGGGGGTGGGGGGGGGGGTTGGTGGTTTGGGGGGTTTATTTGGTGAGGTGGGTGTATGGGTGTGGGGGGGGGGTGTGGGTTGAGGGGGGGGGGGGGTTGGTGTTTTGTGGTGAGGTGTGGGGGGGTGGTTGGTATATTGTGTGGGGGGGTGGTTGGGGGGGATGGTTTGTTGTGAATGGGTTGGGGGGTGGGTGTTGTTGGGGGGGGGGTGGGTGGTTTGGTGGGGGGGGGTGTTTGGGGGGTGTGTGGGTGGGGGGGGGGTGGGTAGGGGTTTGGTTGTGGAGTGGGTGGTGTGTGGGGTTGGGGTTGGTGTGAGGGGGGGGTTGATGGTTGGGGGATGGTGGGGGGAAGGGGTGGTGGGGTGGTGTTTAGGGGGGGATGTTTGATAGGGTGATGGTTTTGTGGGGAGAGGGGGTTTTGGATATTGGGGAGTTATGGGGGTGTTGGGGGGGGGGTGTTGGGGGGGGGGGAGGGGGGTAGGGGGGTGGGGATGGTTGGGGGGAGTGTGTGGAAGTGTTGTTTATTGGGTTTTTGGGGGGGTGTGAGGTGGGGGGGGGGGGGTAGGATTGGGTGGATTGGGGTTTAGATGGTGGTGGGATGTTGAGGGGGGGTGGTGGGGGGGTGAAGGGGATTAGAGGAAGAGGTTGGTAGGTAAGAGAGTAATATGGATGGTAGTGGTTTTTGGAGTTGGTTGGGGGTTTTTGTTTGATAGTTGTTTTGTGGGGTTGGGGGGGGGGGATGGGGGGGGGGGGTTGGGTATTTTGAGGTGGTTGGGGTGTTGTGGGGGGTTGGTATGGTTGGGGGTGTTTTTTTGTATGGGTGGGTTTGGTGGGGGGGTGTTTGGTTGGGGGGTGGGGGGTGGTGTGGGGGTGTTTGTTGTGGGGGTGTGGGGGGGGGGGGTGGGGGTTGGGG